AAACAGGAAGTTAATTGCACAAAGGATCCGGTAGATTTCCAAATAAAACACATCCGATTTTAACCCATGATCCTTTTTTTAACTAGTTTAATTAGTTTCTCCCGTATGCCACGACGTAATGCATTGATCTGAAAATCAACCTCAGACGCAACGCACGCAGTGGCGAGGGTTTGATCCGTCAGATGGAGTTAAATCACAAAGGATTCAATGTTGAATCGGGCGGCAGCTAAATGCTAGGCGATGGGTAGCAGCCTAAACGTTGCAATTTCACATAATCCTGACGAGATCCGAAAAACGTAGCAAAAACTAGCAAGCGGGTGATTATGTATCTTCACTAAGTAAATATTATGTAAATAAACCCTACACTTCTCGCTATAAATGTAATCAAAAACCCATTTAAATGCAGAAACTGATTGAAATTATTGATTTTCCCACTAAAAGTTAGAGAAATCTCAGCCATGTTTATAGCAAAATGTTACAGTTTCACATTATCTTGAAAAATCTTTGCAAGAAACGAACAAGCAAGTGAATATGTACATTCCCTGAGTAAATATTCTGGTAACAAACTATACATTTCTCACTAGAAATGTAATCAAAACTCATTTTAATGCAAAAACAAACTCAAGTCATTAATCTTTCCACAAAAAAATGAGCGAATGTCGGCCATATATTTATTTTTTTTCTTCTCCCAGCTGGAATCTTGAAAGTCACGTGACTAGGACGTAAAACAATAGAAAGCGTATAGGTAGAAGAAACGTAACAGTACCACAAAAAAAGGGCCATTAATGTACCTCCACTACGTTTTGCAGTGTGGACCAACGTAGTGGGGGTACATTTTCCCATGAGACTGGGTTGCAGGGGCAGGGAGCCAGCGGGGGACGGAGCGACCGAACCCGACCCAGTGGCAGTAGCCTGGACACCGGTGGCCCCGTGCTTCCCCCCGCCTGCCTTACCGGCCCCCATCCCCCCTCCTCTGGGTGAGGACGGGCAGCTCATGGCTCTCTGCTGAGGTCCGGTCCAGTTAGCGGCCCAGCAGTCCTTCATACCCCCCGCGTCCTACTTTTCAGAAAACTACTGTAATACTTACAGCTTGTGGTTGTGATGGCCTTACAGTCGGAACAGCCCCTCGTTTCAGTAAAAGAAGTTTAGCAAATACTGCTAAACTGTCCAAGATTTTGAAAGCTGTGTTTGGTAAAATGCTTAGAGCAAATGAACAGCTGAGCATCAAACTTTGCAGGGATCTTCCGATAGACAGAAATAATCCATGCCTGTTGAGTCTTCAGATCCTTGGGAAGACTGTAAAAAATCTCCCCTTTCTCTGTGCGGCCTCGAACACCAAATTGTAGGCCAAACAGCTAAACTAGTGTCTTACATCTTCGTGGCCTTTATTCATGTTCTTGGGCCAGTGAACCAGTGAGCTGGTCTGTATGTAAATTCCGGGGCGTAACAAAAGTAGAGGGGAAAACCAAATAAAGCACCGTCCCTGAGTTTACGCCAACTGGGTGCTTAGTTTGGATTCTTCCCCCTTTTATGGAAGTTTAGGATTGTGAGATTTCCAGAGAAAGGAGGTGTAGATGGGGTTTGAACTTCTCTGTACGTCCATTTCACCCACTGAACTATAATTATTCATGTATGACAATGTAAACGCATTTTTGCATTCTATGACCCTTTTAAGGCTGAATGTCTTTTGCAACTTTAGCCCCAACTTTATTGAACTTCAGCATTCATATTGTATTTTTAGTGCCACTTATCTCTTTTCCCTCTTGGCATTAAATATTTCTTTAAACTTTCTACACACTGGATCTTGGACCTTTTCTCTTTTTGTCCATGCCTCCCCTGGGAGCTGGTAGCTTGCTTTGCTCAATTACTGCCTTGTTCACTCATTGTGGGCAGATGGAATATTTTACATCTGGTTACGTGTTCCTGTTATGGTAAAATACACAACTCATATATTTTTACTAATAAACAGAGCAAAAACATGCAAAACAGATAAAATAAATAATAAGCCATTTCAAAGCTACTGGCATAGAAATATATAAAGTCATAGTAATGACTGGGTCCCTTTAAAGAAATATAACATAGAATTTGTAGGAAATTACAAACCTTCCCAGAAATTACAGTTTTCAAGCAAATGTTCATGTGAACTTGAATATTTTTTAATCTGGAAAATTTTCTTTTTGTTTGAAGATCAACAATTGTTTTGTCCTTCAACCTTTGCTAAATGTAAAAATAAGCAATAATAAAAACATCATGAGGCTTCCAGCAGTGAAATCCCAGCTGGCAGTGAGCAGCCAAATAAAGCAGCTCAGTTGCTGGCTCAGTCAGATTTGCTGCTTCTCATTCCACAGCTGCTATCATTGGGAGTTTGCACACATTTGGCACTGGAATGAATTTGAAAAGAATAGACATGACAGCTTTCATCTTTTTCCACCTTTTCATCTTAGTCAGGCTCTTGCGTAGTGGATTAAAAAGGGATGAGAGGAGGTGTTGCACGGCTCTTGGTGTGACAGTCATATCAAGATCTGATTGATCTCATGAAGTGTGGGAAAATAGCAGCAGCTCCTCCAAATAGTCGAGCCATTCTCACTGACTTTAGAAGATATTTAGTAGCGTGTTTTGACCTTGTCTACTTTTGCATTAAATTACTGTTTAAAGTGCAGTTTTGCAACCAACTTGATCTTGTGGGAGAAAGGGGACACTGGTTGATTGTTGTTGTTAATGCTCTAGGAAAAAAGCGTAGAACCTTGGTGACATCAAGTTTGAGTCATAACAGCCACATTAAATTGGGAACTTTAATTTGTTAATCAATATTTTCGATCTCTAATTTGGATTTTCAGCTTTAGGAGACATTCTCGTTAACTTTTCCAACTTCTACCACTGAAGTACGAAGGAATGAGGCTATAGCGGGTTTTCTATTGATGTAGTACAATGGATTTTGGCTAAATATTAATGGTTTTTTGTATGTTGTTTTAGAATTAGATGCCTGAAATATAAACAAAATTGTTGGGTAAGTGAGCTTGACACTTCCTAACTGAACTGAACTCAGGTAAGACAGACAGTGGAATACTTAAATGGCGTTTCGGTCCACAGAGGAATCCAATAGAAGTCTGAAGACAGGTGGACAAACAGATCAGACTGGGCAGGCAGGCTCAAAAGTCTAAAAACAAACAGGTCAGGATTAGACAATCAGAACACTATAGAAACGCTAGAGAACTCTCAACATCAAAGGCTCAAGAATAATCTGGCACTAATGGCTGGAAAACAGGCGACTTAAATAGGAAACCGGAGCAGGCAGATAATGAGTGATGAGGAACAGGGCAGAGCTAGACAGGTGAATTAAATGAGCAATCAAGCCAGTCATCAGCATCAAAATCAAGACATGAACATTAGTAATGCTAAGCTTGAGTCAGTCTGCTCGACAAAGCATTGATCTTTTTACAGCGTAACTTAGCAGTGTTTTGACCAGGTCCCTCTAACTGTGACCACTGCTAGCAAGGTCTCTTGTTATTTGTGCCGAGAAAAATTGAATAATTTTGGCAATTCTGCTCATTAAGCATTTCAAATTGATCAGAATCAAGGCTGAAACCATGTGTTTTTAATAAAAGATCGATTTGATTGAGGGACATCATATTGACATTTGCAAAATTGACCAGGGCCAGGAATAATATGAGTTTACATTTAGCAAGAGTGTATAAATTATTTGGAAAAAGTTTTCAACATAAACATCCTATCTTTATTATAAAAGACAATCAGATGCAGCAGGTAATAGACATGGACATAACATGCAGTGTATGCATAAATCTGACAACGCCCAGGGTTCTGTTGATTTTCTAACATTACACTTGGATGCACTTAGATTTAGGATGAGCCCATCCTGCAGCAGCAGGGATAGATAGCACATCTGTGTGCTCTGCTCAGCTACACTGCATGTGACATGGCATGTGAACACTGTGCCAAGTGCAATTTAACTATAGTGTTCCTTGTGTGCACATTCTGTGATGCATTGGTGGGTTCAACAAGGACTAACAGCTCCTAGTAGCAGTAATACCTTAAATAAAATAGTTATTCACATCGGGATTGTTTTCGGCTGAGCACACAAATGAAATGGGTTGGTCAGGCTGGAATTGAATTGGTCTTTATGTCAATGTGGTCAGTTTTGGTCTGGCTGGATGTTCTGGGCCCGGTCTTTACTTCTGTCTATAACTCCTGGTCAGCAGGGTGAACTAAATACCCTGGAACATTGTTTAAACATGTCCCTTGAGAGTTATAATATCTTTTCCACAGTAGCGTTCTCTCCTCGCGACAGGTTCTGGTACTCTTGCCTGTATTGTTTCTTTAATTTTTGTTGGCTTGCGATACTCTCTCATGGGCCTTGGGTGAAAGTCTTCACTAAGCAACTAGAAATGTTCCTTTTTTCACTATGCCTCCAACATGGCCACACTCTTCACTTGTAACCTCGAAAATCTTCAGCAACTAGCTAGGCAAGCTATTTGTTAAGATGTGAGTCACTAACAATCAAACCTCTTGTGTCTTTTAGCCATAAGGTGATGTTGGTTGCAGCACTCTCTTGATGTGATTTCTGTTCTAAAGAAAACTGCATGAATTTATTTTGTTTTGTTAAACTTACCAAAATGCTTCAGATCACTTTTGTGCTTTATCAGATTCACCTCTTAACTGTCTTCTAGACTGAATACTATGTGCTTTGCTGACATAAATCATGCTTGAAATTTGTGCCCAGATTCAGATTTTGGAGCCTTGGATCTGGCTGAATTTCTTACCTAAACTTGGGCTTAAGAAATAGAACCTGAGGAAAATAGCTAAGGTTTATTTAGGTTTTGAAAATAAAAGCATTACACATTATCTTTCAATATTAGTGCCGAGTTTAGGTTTGCTGTGTAGTATGCCCTGTTTGGATTTCCTGTTTCTGCCATGCTTCCAGTCCCTTTCAGTTCTACTAACCTTTGATTGCTCCCTCTGCTCTTTCCTTGCTTCCTCTGCAGGAGCCTGTCTCTACTCCCGCCATATACGAGGAGCCTTTTGCTGACTTTAAGGTTATTCTTTTATAAAATCATCTTTGCATGCTCACCCTATGCCTTTTTTCCCTCTGCATCTCTCCTCTCTGACACACATCCCTCGTAACACACAGCATCAACTATTTATTATTAAAAATGTTCGATACCCTAGCAGCTGTAAGCAGTGTTTTGTTTTCATAGGCTACTCTGCTCTTCGTAATAAGTGACTGTGTGGTCTGAGTGGAACTCCTTGTGATTTTATTGCTGCTAACATGATGTGATACATAGTGTTATTCAATAAAAACATGTACCTTATAGCAATCTTAGTGGCTGCAAGGTCACTCTTACATCACTCTTTGCCTTGGAAGCTGTTCTCTGAGTAAAGATAACTTAAAGTTAGGTATTCTCAGCAACTGTAAGGCGTTTAGGAATAAGTTAGAGGAACCAAAGAGCTTTGAGAAGGTAAAAGGAAGGTGTTAAGTTCCCCTGCAGTTCATCTATGCAGTAACAGTATGAGAAAGAAGGCTTTAAATAAACATTGTCAATGCATTCTCAGATCTGTGTGCTTTGAAACTTTTGATGCTTATCTGACTGAAGCCCCTCCTTGTCCACCCTGTCAGTTAAGATGAACACTAATGAATTAGTAGGTTTGCACTTGGTCCATCCTCTATCCATGTCCAGATGATAGACTGAATATAGCTTTCTGAGATGTCCAAAGCTTGGGATACTGTATCTATTTGATTAAGCAGTATCAGATTAAAGGTGGTGAATACATAGATACACCTTTTTCAGATTATTGATTGCTGTTTAAAAAAAAAAACATGTACTTCATTCTTTGCATGGGTTTACTACACAAAATCTCATTGGCATTTGAATTGTTTTACATGATTACAGCATTAAAAGGTTTGTTTGGTAAGAATAGTTATACAATTTTGTGGTAAAAACACTAATAAACCTTCAACACCTTAAAGACTTACTATAGTTACAGTTGATGCGCTAACCTTATAAAATAGATTTCACATGAAGTGTTTGATATATTTTTTTTTTTATTCGAAAAAAGAGAGTATGTTGTTTGTCTGAATTTATTTGAAGCATTACAGACATTCCAAGAGCTGTTTTGTTATTAATTTATTGCGTGCACCGGGTCTAAAGACTCTTCATTCTTCAGAAGCATCATAGAAATCCTCTGCAAAAAAATGGACCCCTCTCCCAACTCCCTGCCATATCTATCCTCCAAGTGAGTCATATTATAACGTGGAGGCGATCCTTTGTCTGTACTTACACCAGAGAGAGCCTGGGGAAAGGCGTCCTCAACCGAGCCTTGCCTCGGAGGAGGAGCAGGAGCGAGATACTCTGGCTTCCATGAAGGAAACACAGCTGGGCATTGAGCGCAAATGCTCCAGCATGACGGTCAGCTCCACATCAAGCCTGGAGGCAGAGGTGGACTTCACCATCATCACGGACCTCCACTCGGGAATGGAGGACTTTTCTAAGGGGCTGTCAGAGATGGGAGAGAGGGGGCGGCAGCCAGAGGTTGGACGTGAAGACTTTGAGGAGACTTCCAGGTTCTACTCTGCCCGTCTGATGGGCTCCAGGGATAAGTTCCCTATGGAGGAGAGGCTTCCTGAGGAGGGAACCCATCATGAGGTAGATGGATGAAAAAATATCTTCCCTTATCCTCATCATCTCATGCTGGATTCATCCTACCTTGCTGGAAATGCTGCCTTGTTTGCTTGCTGAGTTAAAATTTTGTTTTTTATTTGTTTTTCAATATTTCATGTTTGGTTTATTTCATGTTGGGTTTTTAATCCTCCAGCCTTAATTAAAGCTTTGTTTCTGTGTTTAATCCACATTTATTTTTTAAACTCAACATTGCCCTGAATTTTACATTCCTTACATCATCATTTTGCTGTTATTTATTTGCAAAAACAATAATAAAATAATCATTTTACGTTTTTTTTTTCTTTGAGTGAAGTGTTATTTGTCTTCCTTTAAATAGCAGGGGTAAATAGCTGGCTTCTGATTGTAGTAAATATACCGTGTTCTTTCCACAGCCTCCAGTGGCAAAGAAAGACGCCAATGCTGTGAGTGTGGCCCACAAGCTAAAGAGGGCAGACACCCGGACGGAAACGCACACCAATGGATCAGAGGTTCACCAGAACATCATTGATGTCTCACCACAGGTTAGTAACACCAGACAAACCTGTGTTTTATTTGGATTTTATACAGAGAGCAACGCAGTAGGTGGTTGGATACATGGCTCTTAAAGTTTTAATGAAAACAATACTTCCGAAAGGTTTTGGGTTACTTTGTATGCCGACTCCTTCAGTTTGATACCCCTAAAATGAATACAGAAAGCATTCAGTGAAACAGGCCTATTAGTGTTTAGTTAAATCTCAATATTAATCCAGCTGTTTTGTGAGCCATATGTGAATCGTGCTACTAGATAGAACAGAGGTGTTGTCAAACAGCAGCACCGCATGGAGAGCAGAGCTGTGATCGGGGAGTTGAAAAATCAGAACTTTTCTATTATATGGTGTTGCAGCAACCAATCAGGGACTGGTTGTGACATATGTTAAATAAGTTCTTCTTAGACAAAGATTTTGTCAGTTAACAATGAATAAAAAGAAAATGTTAAGAAGGATAAAAATAATTAATCATCTGTAGAGCTTTTAGTTGGATTTAAAAAGAATCCATTCTAATGTAGCCCTGGAAGGACTGTTAAAGCCGTCCCTTATCTCCAGCAAAGATCCCAGTCTGTCACTACCCACTCCCCTGCATTGATGCTTTCTGTGAAGGTAGCTTTACAAGGAAGTACTGCTGAATGCAGCCAACATTCAGATGTATCACTGGATGAACCAAAGTGGACTCTTTTTTTCAGGGTTTCCCTTGCTTTTCCAAAAACTGAACGTCTCTCCAGATCATCAAAATAAGTGGTCCTCCTAACTGGCTGTGCTACCTACTTGTCTCCATTTTCACTTACCGGTTTATGAGTGATGCAAACAGCAACTTTTAACCGAGCGTACGCAAGGAGAAATGGGTTCACGCATGCTCTCGCGCGTTTAATAGGCTTTCCCTCTTGGGAGTAAGTACAAGGTTGTGCATGTGCATTATTATTTTCTTTTAAGTGGAGAGGGTGGGTGTTTAAAAAAAAAACTTGAAAATTCTCTACAATAAATGCTCCTGTTAAAAGATTAAATAAAATACTCATTTTATTATCAGTTATTGTACGTTCCACATTTGGGGAATCATTAATAGCTTTGACTGAGGGGGTATTCATGGTAAGGCAAAATGCCCAAAGGGATACACAAATTAAAAAAGGTTGGGAACAATGGACTTAAAGACTCCTAATAGTAATAAAATAATAGTAATAAATAGTAAAACATCCATTTTTTTAAGCTACTTTGATAGTTAAAAGTTGATTTTAACACTTTTACCTTTATGATAATAAAATGTCTGATATATTTTATTTATAAACCCTAAAATAGAAGGCATTGGAGAGGGTAAAATGAGTAACTGAATTCAGTTCGCTCCAGCTGCTTCATTACTTAGAAAGCACAAAGATATTATGTGAAAGAATGACATTTTTTGTTTGAGAAAATCTGCAACTTAATAAATATCTTTTTTCTACAAGGCTCTGTGATACTGAAGCCATAGTCCCAAAGAAATGAGGAATGTAATAGCATCATTAAGGAGTGATTAAAGTATTGACAGTATATTAACGAGAGGGATGAAAGCAGGTGTGACTGCCATTCATCTCCGGAAGCGGAGAAATGAGTGCAGACTGGCTGTCCCACAGGTGCCTTATTAAAATGTACTCATGGCCAGGCTCTTTAGCCATTCAGCTAATGGTGTGGATTTGCTCAGGAGATGATGGAGAGAGAGAGGGCCCTTTGAAGTGGCACAACAGTGCTGAGTCATAGCTTTAAAGTTCTCAGAGTAAGCCTGAGTGCTCTGTGTGGGTGTGTGTATGCTCCTATTTTGCATGTTCTCACTTGTTCAGGTTTAGGACTGAGTTGTGAATTGAGTATTTAGGTTAGGGGTAGGTATGCTCTGGTTATGGTTAGGTTTATTTCTAGTGTTAGAGCATCAAAAACGTTAAAAATGACAAACTCACTGGAAGTCAGTGGCAGTCACATGCTCCTCACTACATAAAGCAGTAAATGGAGAATGAGATCGTCTTAAATGGATAAAGATCTGCACTAATCTTTGGTGGCCAGCAGGGGGGGGTATTTCACAATATTACATTGTTGCTTCTTGCTGTCTCTGGATTTTATAACAGCCTTTAAATCATATTCAGCTCCTCACTACACAATAAAATCAAACATGTTTGCTTTTAAATATTATGTTTATACAAGGGGTCATAGAATGATTATATAGGGTATATGGTACTGGTCCTTATGGTCTCTGAATAGGGTGTGTAACATTGGTTGGGCTGAAAATTGCATATTTGCTGTTCTATGAGCCCTAATGTAAGCCTGGTTAAAAGCCCCAGAATGAAACAACAGGTTTTTCTTCCTTTTATGGTATGCTATGAATATTTAGATGAGCTGTGCGCTGATTGGTTTACAATATGCAATGCTGCATCATCATAGCAACAAGCACTCACTCACTGAAACAGACATAAAGAGATTGTTGGTATGGTAGGGTGACTGGACGCCCCTTTTTCCTGGACATGTCCTACTTTTCATACCTAAAAAAATATCCGAGGGGAATTTTAAAATCGCAGCAGAACCGAGCCATGAGCTCGGGGGCTGGTCCAGGGCAGGGAGCCAGCGGGGGATTGAGCAACCGGTGACGTAGCCTGGACACCAGCGAATTCTCTTGATATTAAAATTTTTTCATTTGTCAAAGAACTACAACCTAAAACAGCACAGCAATTTAGAGTTACACTTTCTTAGCAGTGCAGTGTATCTTAGGATCTTTGTCTTCAGCTTTATTTATATTATTCTCACTGTCAGCCAGAAGAAAAATAAACACAAAAAATACATTATTTTTTGTACAATGGCCAACAATCAGCTGTGGGATCATAGTGAATAATTTAGGCTGGGTGCAGTGATAAGACCTGAACCTGTTCTTTTCCGAGTGGATCATCAAAACAAGTAGTCTTCCTAATTCTCAATCATTCTGGTGATATGTTTATGTCAGGCCGTCCTAGGTGCTCGTCCGCATTTTCACTTACCGGTGGTGAGTCTGACAGTGAAAAAATTGCAAATCTTCTTTTGGAAACTAAGCTTGTATGAGCGATGCAAACAGCAACTTTTAAACAGCACATGTAGAAATGGGCTTGGGAGCGCCTTCTATCACCTAAAGAAATTCACCAAAAGCACTAATTTCTCAGCAAAACCTTGGAAAACTAATTCATGCATTCATGGCTAGTAGAACTGATTGCTTTTATGGTCTCTTCTTTTTCTTATTTACGCCAAATTGAATTGACTTGCCACTTAAATCTGCTATATGAATAAACTTGCCTTGCCTTGTTTAGGAGCCTGTTAGTTTCCAGTATACTCAGATCTATACCAGACCCCAAAAGTACTAATCAATGACAAATACAGTATTTTAGCTAACAACCACTGACCTAGACTTAATAGAACCAAGGCATTTAATACTTACAGTAGTTGATTTTTTTTTTATCAGGTTCTGTTGAAGAGACTTTGCCATAAGAAACATATTGTTCCTACATGTATAAGGCTTGATAAGTGCATTCTTGGGCAGAAAAACTTTCAAAATACACTTTCTTTTCAATATATCATAGTTCCACATTTGTTGTTGGTTAAATTGATATTTTCTGTGTAGACTTGAACAATCAATGTATAATGAATTCTGTCTGGAGAGCAAACAAATTAATTTGTGTTGTTTTGTGTTCTTATTTGTATGGAGCAATCATCCTGCTGGTAGGAGATAAAAAGCCTTAATCAGGACTTTTTCTGTCTCTCACTTTTAGAACCCTTCAATTGTCAGCTCCACGGAAGCTTCTGTTGTTCCCAAGGAAAATGGCTCCCCTGTAAGTACCTTTGTAGATGACATCCATCACATTGACACTAATTTATGAGTCTGTATGTTGGCTCTGCTGTAGTCTTGACCTCTTTTTGAGTGAGTGTCCAAATGAATCACCTTATGTGAGCCGCAGCATTGTCACTTACTTTTATGGTAATGGTTCATGTCATGAATTTATATGCCTAAATGAGTTTCAGCTAACACATTATTCTGAATAATTGTTCTGTTTTTCAGCAGATGCTTTTCCTTTCCATCAATTATTTCTGCTTTTGCTTAAATTGTCGCCTAACAAAAAGTTATTTGCACATAATTTACAAATATGTAAAACATGAAGACTTAGTGCCGGGTGAAGAGAGGTGCTGAGCTTTCCACTGACCACTACCTGGTGGTGAGTTGGCTCCGGTGGTGGGGGAGGATGCCGGTCAGACCTGGCAGGCCCAAACGTGTTGTGAGGGTCTGCTGGGAACGTCTGGGGGAGGTGGGGGACATTGAGTCCGAGTGGACCATGTTCCGTTCCTCCATTGTCGAGGCGGCTTATCTGAGCTGCGGCCGCAAGGTTGTCGGTGCCTGTCGTGGCGGCAACCCTCGAACCCGTTGGTGGACACCTCCGGTGAGGGATGCTGTCAGGTTGAAGAAGGAGGCCTATCGGGCCTTTTTGGCCTGTGGGACTCCGGAATCAGCTGATGGGTACCGGCGGGCGAAGCGGCATGCGGCTCGGATGGTTGCTGAGGCAAAAACTCGGGTGTGGGAGGAGTTTGGAGAGGCCATGGAGAAAGACTTCCGCACGGCTCCGAAGCGATTCTGGTCTGCCATCCGGCGTCTCAGGAGGGGGAAGCGGTGCAGCACCAACACTGTTTATAGTGGGGATGGTGTGCTGCTGACCTCGACTCGGGACGTTGTGGGTCGGTGGGCGGAATACTTCGAAGACCTCCTCAATCCCACCAACATGTCTTCCATTGAGGAAGCTGGGCCTGGGGGACTCTGGGCTGGGCTCTCCAATCTCTGTGGGCGAGGTCGCCGAGGTGGTTAAAAAGCTCCTCGGTGGCAGGGCCCCGGGGGTGGATGAGATCCGCCCGGAGTTCCTCAAGGTCCTGGATGTTGTGGGGTTGTGTTGGCTGACACGACTCTTCAACATTGCATGGACATCGGGGGCAGTCCCCCTGGATTGGCAGACTGGGGTGGTGGTCCCCCTATTCAAAAAGGGGGACCGGAGGGTGTGCTCCAATTACAGGGGAGTCACACTCTTAAGCCTCCCCGGCAAGGTCTATTCGGGGGTGCTGGAGAGGAGGGTCCGTCGGATAGTCGAACCTCGGATTCAGGAAGAGCAGTGTGGTTTCCGTCCTGGTCGTGGAACGCTGGACCAGCTCTACAACCTCAGCAGGGTCCTGGAGGGTGCATGGGAGTTCGCCCAACCAGTCTACATGTGCTTTGTGGACTTGGAGAAGGCGTTCGACCGTGTCCCTCGGGGGGCCCTGTGGGGGGTTCTCCGGGAGTACGGGGTGCCGGGCCCTTTGATACGGGCTGTCAGGTCCCTGTATGACCGGTGTCAGAGTCTGTTCCACATTGCCGGCAGTAAGTCGGGCTCGTTTCCAGTGAGAGTTGGACTCCGCCAGGGCTGCCCTTTGTCACCGATTCTGTTCATTACCTTCATGGACAGAATTTCTAGGCGCAGCCAAGGTGTTGAGGGGATCCGTTTTGGTGGCCTTAGGATTGCGTCTCTGCTTTTTGCAGATGATGTGGTCCTGTTGGCTTCATCAAGTCGTGATCTGCAGCTCTCGCTGGATCGGTTCGCAGCCGAGTGTGAAGCGGCCGGGATGGGGATCAGTGCCTCCAAATCCGAGGCCATGGTCTTGAGCCGGAAAAGGGTAGAGTGCCTTCTCCGGGTCAGGGGGGGTGTCCTGCCCCAAGTGGAGGAGTTTAAGTATCTTGGGATCTTGTTCACGAATGAGGGAAGAAGGGAGCGGGAGATCGACAGGCGGATTGGTGCAGCGTCTGCCGTGAAGCGGGCACTGTACCGGTCCGTCGTGGTGAAGAGAGAGCTGAGTCAAAAAGCGAAGCTCTCGATTTACCGGTCGATCTACGTTCCTACCCTCATCTATGGTCATGAACTCTGGGTCATGACCGAAAGAACGAGATCGCGGATACAAGCGGCCGAAATGGGTTTCCTCCGTAGGGTGGCTGGGCTCTCCCTTAGAGATAGGGTGAGAAGCTCGGTCATCCGGGAGGGACTCGGAGTAGAGCCGCTGCTCCTCCACGTCGAGAGGAGCCAGTTGAGGTGGCTTGGGCATCTGTTTAGGATGCCTCCTGGACGCCTCCCTGGTGAGGTGTTCCGGGCACGTCCCACCGGGGGGAGGCCCCGGGGAAGACCCAGGACACGCTGGAGAGACTATGTTTCTCGGCTGGCCTGGGAACGCCTTGGGGTTCCTCCTGAAGAGCTGGAAGAAGTGGCTGGGGAGAGGGAAGTCTGGGCCTCCCTTCTCAAGCTGCTGCCCCCGCGACCCGACCCCGGATAAGCGGAGGAAGATGGATGGATGGATGGATGAAGACTTAGTTTGATTTCTCTGTAACAGGAGCCAAAAGTGAACCCATTTGGACACGAGGAACTGGCTTTTGAGTAGAACTTGAAACTTTGTTACAGAAAGAATTGTCAATTTTAGGCCTGAATTATGGAAACAGACTTACATCTGACTGACAGACTTAGGAAGTTGCATTTTACTAAGATCCAATGACCCATCCATCATATTTAGCTGTTCAGTACAATACGTTTTTGTTTGCATCACCTAATATTTATTAGTAAGTAGCATTTCTCTCTAATTCCTCTTGTCTTATTTGATTTTAGGCCAATGTGAAGTTCTTCTTTGTTTCCTTACAGCTTATGGCTGAAACATATAAATGGTTTAGTTCAAAAAATGTATTGGAATTCCTCATCAGTTTGTTGTTTGAGCCCTCTTTCTACTGGACTATTATTTTATTGTCAGTTATTTAAATACATGGTAGCAAATCATTATCATCTGGTTTCAGTAAAAAAAATATTTATGATGGGAACTCCATTTATTTTCTTTACTTCCTTTCTGGTTGTCCTGCAACTATTTTGGTTCAATTTAAATCAAATTTTATCAAAGATTGCTTCCTTAAAATCGATGGAGTTTTCATATCTTTATTTGAGGTTTCTGCAACTGTATCATCAGTTTCCATCTATGTTAGAGGAAACACCTTTATATATCAGCAGATAAGATGCGGATACAGGTTTTGATTTGTATAGTTGCATTGTTATTCCATTTTGTGCAGCATTCTAACATGTTGCACATTTCTTGTGGGGTAAAGTCAGATGAAATAATGGTCACAAAATCTAAAAATCTATTTTACTGCAATCCCTCGAAGATGATCATTGTAAGCCTACAAGCAAAATTAAAGTTTTTGGTAATTGTAGCCCTGTAAGTTGTTGTTCACACCTTTACATTTATACTTCACCCTAAAAAAAAAAAGCATAAAACAAGTTAATTTGGTCTTCCAGCAACCAGTCTATGCACATTTTGGAGGTCTAAGTGGCCAATGTTTAAATTCATGACCGTGAATGTAAATCTGTTTGAAGGTATAGATATTTCAGTTATTTGAAATGCTTTAAGCTGTAGCTTCATATCCAAGAGCATTTCAGTAAATTACTTGGGGTGCTGCCTGTACGTTGTGGATGTGATGAGGTGGCATAAAGCCAGTGAAGCCAGGTCTCTGTCAGACTCTCTGATGTCCAAACATGCAGGTGCACATGGGCCACATGTTTTATAACCTAGTAATGTTCTAACTGGATTCCACCGTGCATTACCCCAGACCCCCATATGCTGCAAGCATGGGTTCAGCCATTAGTCACCTCTTTTATGACATGAAGATTTATCTATGTGCAAACTAGTCAGAGAACTGTTGCTCTCTCTCAAGCCTAATGGAAAGCTCTTATGCTCTTGATGCACCCCAGAATAACTATTTTAGAACAAGCAAGAGCTATGAAAAATAAATGGATTGATTAATTATTAGAAGTTACAATAATGAGGGCCCTTTTAGAAGATTTTGTCACTTAAAATTTGTTTTTTTTCTAGGTTCAAAACATTTGTTTAACAATGTTAATTAATTAAAGTATTTTTTTAGATTAATCAGATAAACATGAAAGTTATCAATAGATTATGCTGAAATAAGAAATAGTTACAACCTTAAAAAAATAGGTTCTAGCTGATAGTACTGCCATTAGTATTTCCAGTATAATAAGTACCTAAAGTGAGATCCTCCTGTTCATTAGGGTATAAGAATCCCCCCTCATGTCTGTGTGACCTCTATGGACCCAGGGACCCTTGACTAGCAGAGCGAAATACTGTATGATGATCACGTTAAAAGTGTGTAAGAGTCTGCCATAATTACTGTCCTGCAGGTAAAAGCAAGTTCCCAAGGGAGGGAGTCTGTTGTGTCTCCTCTGACCATCACGGCTGAAAGTATCACATCAGCGACCACAACACAAGTTACCAAGGTAACACCATCTTTGTATCCTTGGTTACGGTTCAATCACTGGACTTGTATCCTAGTGAAATGGTAATCTCTTTCATAGATAAGAGGATGCAGCCATTTAAGGAGGTTCAGCCCAGTATCTCATGCTCAGTTTGGGTCACTCTAAGTTTTACACACTCTATACTATTCTTTCCCCACTTTAAGCACTGGACAGGACCTCAATTTTAGGGAAAAAGGTCTAAGATTGAGAGTCAAGCTATCGGCAGATCAAAACAGATTCCAGTTCCCACCATATTATAAGAACTTCACTGTTAAGGAATGTCAGAGGGTTAATACTTTGTCTTTTTTTTTACTTTACTTTTAAAAAGCATGATACATTCATCACTGGTTCAGCTTTAGTTTAAATAAGTGGAGTACTGAAACAATCATGTAATGTTTGCAAAAACTGCTTGGACAGTTTGAAAAGTGATTTCAGTTGAAATAAACAGAGATCCAGTTTGGGAACTAGTCCTGCTTTGACAAGCCATGAGCCTAACCTTCTAGGAATTGTTTTTAATCAGTTTCTAGAACCATAGTTTGTTTGACTCCTATGCATTGAACACTAATAGAAGAGTAAATAAGGGGTTTTATTGGATATCTGAGATGAATTTTAAGTAGGAATTGATTTATCCATGTGCCGTTATCATGATAAAAATGAAATCATAGTTCTTAAACCGTTTAACCATGTGTCATATCACATCCACATATTTTAAAGGAGATAGCTACAGGTTTAATTAGAACAAATGGCTTTTTCTAATGCCAACCCCCAATAAACTTTAACAAACATTTGACGTAACTTTAAACCTTGTTGAACTTGTTTTCCTTCTTGTTTGATCTACTTAATTCTAGGATTGAGTATTTGCAAGGATTTTGCAATACGATACGCATTATGATACTTAGGTCACGATACAATATTATCACAATATCTGAATATCACAATATATAGCCATATTCTTACCAGCTGATATTAAAGTAAAATTTAAAGATGAAAAAGCAAGTTCGATATATGTTTATTGGAAGATAATTAGCATTCAGTTTTTTAATTTTTTTTATTTTAGCCATATTGTCTTGAGTCAGTCTACATCTGCCAGTGTGACTGCCTCTACTACAGAAATGGCGATGCACCACACAGCAAAAGGGCTCAATGGTGCCATCTACTAGAGTAGCTGCATCAAAGTAGCATGCTTCTCCTAAATTTTTTAGGAAAATATTTTTCTTTTTTTAATCGATAGCAGAAACTGAAAGATTGATATATCGGGCAGCCAAAAATTGCGATATATTGCCAAAATAAATTTTTTCCCCACACCTCTACCTAATTCTGAGAAATCCAACACTAGGAAGAAATTATATTTTCAGAGCCATCACAGAGCTCCATTTCACCTTTCTTATTTTCTCCATCATCATATGACATTGTTTCACTACAGTTGAATCCATTACCTCATCACTATTAATTTTTCATGCAGCCACTGGAAGTTCAATCCAACTGCAACACACTATACTGTAGGTGTGTTCGTTTTTGGAAGCTGCATCCTCCAAGGACCCGCTCTACCTTGACCGGGTCCTCTGAGGTCCGTGAAAATAAGGAGCCCATAAAAGTTTTGGCTATGGATTCAAACAGGCCCAGCCTTCTACTGCTCTCACCGCCCATACGCCCTGTCACCTTGCAACCATGCTAGTTGACACACAAAGAAGGCAAAGAATGGATACCTAACTTCTCACTATTGTTCTGTTTACTAATTACAATTTCGAGGAGCTTCAGCAGCAGTACCTTCATCACAAATATCAGATTTGTAGTCCCCACACTGCACAGATATTGGAATCTATGCTTAAATGTCTGCGGAACCCATTTGCAGATAAACAGATAAAAGCCTTTCAATAAGTCAAACGATACCCGCCACATATCTGACTCAATGGCCATTTAAAACAACTATTTTGATTAATTTCAGACGGAACTATTCACATATTGTGATTTGTTATTCCTCTGCGCAAGGAGCGGCCGGCTTGCTTGGACTCGCAATGAATCACAGGATAACCAAGGATACGAAGGATACACAGTACCGTCCTTAAAAATGGCAAGAACAAGGCTGCATTTGGCGGGCTCATAACGAGGAGTCTTGCAATCCAAACAGGCCACGGCGGCGCACTATTGCATAATCAGCCGTCAAAAACAATACAGCTTTTGTCCACTGGGGGAGCCAAAATCGACAAAAACCGAAAGTTCTTTAGAACTGCTTTCAGTAACAAATAATTAAAATTTCTCGCCATTTTTTTGGTGTGGCATTTTTATGCTGAGGTTCTTTACAAGTGGTGTAGAATCTGAGTAGAGTTGCTCTACACATCAATACATCAGCTGGTTTCTGAAAGTTACAAGGTTCTGTAAAGTAACTCTGGAAATTATACAGCAATGTACTGATATAACATTTTATTTGTACTTTTAAGTATTTACATACTTTTAAATCCATGTACTTTTGAATACTTAAATATTTTCGAAAGTGAGCACTTTAGTAATTTACCTTGAGTAGATTTTTTGACCGACCAACTTTTGCTTGTAGTTGATTAGTAAGATTAAACTTTGACTAGCAATACTTTTACTCAAAAAATATAGCTGAGTACTTCATCTACCACTGTCTCTAGGTTCTTGGAGTCTCTAGCAGTTCATGCTCTCCTTGTGCTCTCAGATAATATTGGGCAGGATTCAAATGCATGGTGCATTTCTCAAACGTCTATTGGTGAAAAAGGTTTAATAGTGCAATTTTTTCTGCTTTGAATTCTCAGTTTTGCGCTATTTTGTGTTGGTCTGGGACATCAATATCCAACAAAATACATTAAATTCTGAGGTTGTAATATGAATAAAAGTAGAAAACTAAGGCTTTTGAATACCTTTAGAAGGCATGCATATTTGTTAGAATAAGCCAACTTTCTGGCTACTGATTTCTCTTTATGCTCTACAGACTGTAAAAGGAGGTTATTCAGAGACCAGAATTGAAAAAAGGATCATAATCACCGGAGACGAGGATGTGGACCAGCATCAGGTGAGAGAGAGACATAGTTTCCAGGAAACATTTGATCAGTTTGTTCGCATTTAGTTGTTGAAATCACCTATGGCTGCAAGCACTGATGATCTGTTTGGTGTTTTCATGGCTCCAGGCACTCGCCATGGCGATCCAGGAGGCTAAGCAGCAGCATCCCGACATGCTGGTGACGAAAGCAGTGGTTATCAGGGAAACAGAGTCTCCCACAGAGGATCTGCAGCGGAAAGCAGAGGTAACTGGCAGATAGGAGAGAAGGTCACTAGGTTTCATTACTTTAGGTTCAAGTGGTACCATCTAGGCTCAGGGTGTTTCTCTGATGCTAATGACTTTAACAGAAATAGTGGCTGGAATACAGAGAGATGCAAAAAAAGAGGAGTGAGGCTAAAATAGGATCCAGTGTGGATGTGTAGCATGCTAAAGCTCTTTTGACTTTAGCAGTTAGAATTGTGCGTGTTCCGAAAAAGTCTGGAAATGCATGGGATTTTATTTAAGGTATGAAGAAGAAAGACTGAAAATAGATGTTTTTTAAACTACCCTGTTGAAAATTCTCCTAAAAACATTTTGTCTCTCGGCAGTGCTGATCCAACACAACGGCCTCTGAGATGGGGTTGGAGGGAGACCAGAGAGAATCCTCTAGCAGAGAGTCTCCCTCCCCACCAAACTGAACATGACCACCCTCAAAGAGAGGACTCTCTACCCCCCCACTGTGTACTCATAGACCCCTGAACAGACTGCGTTCCAGGAAGCAGCAGATTTCCTGTCTTTTCCCTTTAGACGAAACCAACTGTGACCTGGTCTGGACCCCCTGTCCCGTCCAGCATCATTCCAATCCTCCAGCTTCTTTGGAAACAGGAACCGTCTTTTGTTGGAGGATTCAGCTCGGAATCGGACGTGTTTTGGCTTGTTTGCACCAACGACCCCCCTCCTCAGAAAGGACTTCTTCCTGTTCAAACATCTGCAGTCTTATTGTCTTCATCTTTCTCGCTTCGGTTTGATTAACTGCTGTCTTATTAGCTTTTTACATTTTTACCTATAGATGATCTAATTTATGTTCAGTGTTTGCCTGTTTATGAATTATATCAGATGATTATAGTCTGCATGATTCAAATAATAATAGCAGAGGAAATGAGAAAGAATACCTACACAGACAGGTTCCATAAAAACATTGTCAGGGTCTGGTACCAGCCTCCATTTACAGAACATCCTTGTCCTCATCCCAACCTGACTTTGAGCTTTTAGTGACAGCAACAATGGAGATGCTGCTCACCTTGTTAGGGTTTGTAGAGAAATTTTTAATATAAATATTACGTGCTCTAAGTTTTGCAGATTTGATGGTATATTTTTACTTTTTATTTACTTGACTTTGGTTTAATCTGAATTTCTTGTGTTTTTTAAATTTTTAAGTTTTTTTTTTTTTCTTGTTGACTCTTCTAAATGCTGTTACACTGGAGATTATTGTGTGTCTTGGGGAAACATTGCTAGGTATTGGCCGGTTGCCATTATCAGGGTTGACCAAGTAGGTTTCAAAATAAGTACAATTTTCCACCGTAATGTTACAGCCTATTTAGATGCTTTTAATACATAATACATAGAAAAGTTACACTGGATTTTAATTCAGAGTTCTGTTGCTGCACACTGACAGCCAGATGGCTGAAAAATGGCGCATATGTTAGTCTCATACTTGCACAAATGACTTGTTTTAAGAAAACCCACTAGAGTTATGGAACTTAAAGCAGAACCTCCATCAATGTAATGTTATTTTAAAACTCATTGGTTCAAACTGGTTGGAAAATAATTACAAACAAAAGCATTTAGTTCAAGTAATTCCTTTTTGTATTAAACTTTCCCAATCCTACAGTCAAGCTGTTATACGAAGTTATCTGATTGACTCATTCCTAGATCTCACTAAGAAACTGTGAATCTATCTTAACTTGTCGTTCAGGTTTATTAGGCCACTTAGATGGCTCAGCACTAACTGCTGCCCAAAAAAGCGACCTCCTTCAGTCTATGCAATATTTGGAGGTGATCGCTACTTCTACCCAGCTAAAAACCCTGGTTTTGTCCATATTTAACCACACTGTAAGATTTTGTGAATCAAAATTAGCATTAAGTGGAAGTCTTGTGTCTGGTCAGTACACAGAATGTTTTGGTTATTTTCAGCTATAAATATATTACTCTTAACTGATGCTGTTCATCCTGCTAACCTTTTTTGGAGCAAGAATAAGTAGCCGATCCTATTTCAAGCATTTCGTGGTATGATAATCAAATCTTTTCAAAATAACAATACAAACTAGTATAGTTTGGATCATATTATTTTAACACAGTCCTTGTAAAGTAAAAAAAAAAAAAAAAGCACCGGACTTGTATGACTTTCTCTCTGATTTCTGTTAAATGAACTTATGCTGTCATGGTGTGGACTTTGGGTTTATATTTAAAAGCAGCGGTGTATGTTGAAGTTCTCCCTAGAGATACAGTGTCGTGCAAAAGTATTAAATCCCCTAGAACCTTTAAACATGTCACATTACAAATGATTTTATTAAGGGAAGTAAAAATAAATGGGCGAATACATGTGCACACCAGACTTAAGGTTTCTGTGGTTCTATGATGAAATAGGTTGAAAACAAATCCTGTAAAAGCTGAGAGCATACAGGCCGATCCATATAAAGCATAGCGTGTTGCCCTGTCACATACATCATTATGTTCTGAGTGACCTTTAATGCTATACTATGCATCACAAATCAGTCATGAGAATCCCTGATTGAGCCCTAACCTTTGTTAATCCTAATTGAGTCTGTGCTACTGTTAGTCGAGGCAGTGAAGCTCTCTGCTCGTGAGGTTTTGCAATAAGCTGCCATCTTTCCCCATCTTCTGTCCTCTGAAGGGAGAAAACTGTGATCTCTCACATGTACCGAAGCGTAACCAAAACCGAATAATAATAATAACAATGCACAGCTGTGGAGTGAGGAACTTTTCCAGCAATTGTGACCATGCTTTTGTGGCCCTCAATCATCCCCCACTACCCCCACATGAAACTACTGACCTGCTCCAGACACACCTGTGGACACAAGAGTCCAGACCTGCTACCTTGTATATTCTATTTTACTCTGTTTTATTTTCTATTGGTCACATGACACTGGACTGTTGTGAAGGCAGAGTTTGGAGCAGATGCTTTGTAAACTAATTAGGAAGCTGCTCCTGGAATAATTAAGGCATCAAGAAGAAAAACTGAGCTGCAGTATGAAGGTTTGGATTTCTTTTGTATTTTCGTCAAACAGTTGATGCATTGGGTGCAATAGAGAGAAGAATACAAATGGGTGCCTTAAGTTTTGGGTTGATTTTTATGGAAGTAGGAGCAGAGCCTATTAGCTGAAAGTTTCTAAGATGAGAAAGAGGTTATCTAGAAAGAACTACTGACATTAGAAAACTGGAAAAAGGAACGAAATTATGTCCTGATACGGGGGAATGCATTTGTTGAAACTATCACCATGAGGATAAGCAGTGTATCCACAGTGAAGGCCATTAAACTGCTGTGCCACTAAGCCTCCACCTTCAGTTCTCCACTGCCGTTAGCTCTACATTCCCCTAGTGCTTGGTGGTGTGTATGTGCTGTGTTTGCATTCAGTTCTGACAGGAAATATACCTGCATCAATAAATGTCTCACTATGATTCAAACCATGTCTCTGCTTCTGAAATGAAAGGGCACAGATGGGGGTGGGAATTGTAAAATAATGGTCTCCTTTGTGACTATTATGTGACAATGTTGGCAAAAAAAAAAAATGTGTTCTACAAAATGCACTGAAAGGAAAATGAGTTTTCTTTCACTGCCATCATGTGGTGAGGTTTGTAAACCAAAGCAGAAAAGCAGGCCAGATTATTTCTAAGCCCTTGCTGCCATCTAGTGTTTTTTTGTGGAGCCAACCAAGCAAAAGACCAAACCTCAGGAAAACAGTAGCATACAGTGGTCTGCTAAAGCATTAATATGCCTTACATTTTTAGAGGTTTTATACAAAAAAAGTATTTATCCTATTCCATAAAATCCCAAAAAAGTACAAGATTCGCTATTATAACAATTGAAAAAATGTAGAAAACTTGGTATGAAATATTTTCCAAGAAGGGATAAATAATAAATGAAATGTTGCATTACGTTTATTGCAGGAAGCAGACATAATGGAAGTCTCATAGCTCCGAACCTTGGTTTAATTGGCCTAAATTGCATAAAAAGTACTTAGGAACTTCCTTTCCCCTGTTCCTTTGGGTCAGACCTTTGAAAGGCAACATAAACTAATTCAAACACAAATAGCTTTTTCTTTTCACACCAGCTGGCTTCCATTCTCAAGGAGTACGTACTTAGAGAGGAAACACAAAGAAAAGAACGTTCATAGAGCTTTGTGGGGAAATAAAGTTAGTGTATATTTCTTAGTGGTGAAACTGCCTTTATCAAAGTAAGGACAATTTAAGTCTGTTAGTTTTTTTGTTTTTTTTTACATTTCCATAAACTCAAACGTCCTTTAAGGAAAATAACCTAATAAATTCATAATAGTTTAAAAAATGTAGTTTCACTCAATTTCTAATTTTGCATATGAAATAAAAGGTCTTATTGATCATTTCTGATGAAAAAAAATAATAATAATAAAACGAAACTAATAATTATAATTAAAGTCTGGATTATGAATTGATGGAAAATTTTATTGTTTTAAAATCAGAGTTTTCTTCAAACTTTCTGACGAATGAAATAAAAACATACATTTTTAATTATTTAAATTAGATTATTTTTTTTTTCATTAGATGATTGTTTTGATGATTGTTTTGTTCATCTACAAGTAACTGTGTTCTTTGTGAGGATTGGGTACCTCCTAACACTCTGCCCTATACAGAAAATGGCATTGTGATGTAGCCTATTGTTAAAACTTGGGTCTTAAATAATTGATATTTTAGAAAGAGAGGCTCATGGAAGAAAGGTTTCTGTGGTATTTTCATATTTTGCATGAAAAAGGTCTCTGGTTCAAAGTCGGGCTAAAACAAGTGGTCAAGATTCTGTAAATCTTTCAATAACTGGGCTAATAAGGAAATCTGTGGTGCATTCGTCAGAAAATCGGATCTGCATTCAAGTCTCAGTAGAAACTTAATCATGGCCTTATTTGATTTGCCCAAGCATCACTTTAAAGGAAATCAGCTCTTTAACTGTTTTATATTGCACTAAATCATATAGCTAACCCAGAAAGCAGCTCTTCATTTATAACATGTAGACTGGTTGGTATTAACAGACTCACAGCTTTGTGTTGTTCTATAAATCAGTTTCTTTATTCACACAGTATAAACAACAAACAGCAACAGAGGGACGCCTCCTGCGGAGCGTATACAGACAGTGAAAGCAGTACATCTCTGAAGGGCTGATTTAGACAGAAGCAAAGACACGGGGCTGATAATGCTTCAGCACACAGAAACCTACCAGATGCATGGACCTCACATGTTCCTAAAGCCATTCGGTCGCTTTGCAGGTGGACAGTAGAAAGACGACAGTCATGTACAAGTACAGTTATGCTGAGCAACAGTTTACAGTATGAAACAAGAGTTGTTTACATAAAAACTGAGTAAATCATCTCTTTAGAAAGGTTTCTTTTCATATAAATGATCTGAAGTGTACAAAACGGTATATTACACATTTTTGATGCATGATCCCCAGTAGCATACAGTACACTTCCCTTCAAAGTACTACAAACTACTTAACTGGATTACAAGCTACAATGAGACTGCAGCGTACTCCAGGTGGCACAGCAGTCCCAAATGGCATCAGGAGACTATGGAAAAAAGGAAAATATTAGCAGCATTGTCTTAAGATCATCCGCCTAGAAAAATTCACCCAGCCTTTAAAGGCCGGCAAATTTCCCAGATAAACAGCAAAATGCCGCTCAAACCTCTGTAACGTCGGCAAAGGATGTGCTCCAACTCCTAAACACCTAATGTTAATATCATTCCAGCAGAGCTTGAGCACTGCTGCCGCTGCTGCTTCAAAGTTATATGCTTTTAGTGTTTCTGGACATACGCAATAAGTTAAGGCTCTTTAAGGACCTGAGGATTCTGAACATATGATGAGGCACACAGAAGGCAAAGAATAGCTCTAGACACAGGGCTAACTGAAAGAATGAGGGGCATGAGAGGCAGCCATGAGGGTACTGCAATCAGTAGAGATGAGGGATCGCGGTGCAGAACCGAGAGGAGAGACGCCCTACATACCATCTTTAACAACCTCTTTCATAAGGACTAGTTGAAGCACTTCATCATATTTAGGATATTTGAATTAGCTTGGAAGGAATTCACAGAAAATATGCTAATGCTTTAGCCTCCAGTGTCCATCGCTGCTATTTTCAAGGTTCAGATTTCCTAAAAAACATGTCTGCGTATTCAAGAAAAATAAAAATTTTAAGTAAAATAAGATAAGTGAGAGGTATCATGTTTGTTATTATTCCTTTTATCAAATTATCTTATATGTGACAACAGATATGAAAAATACTACTAGAACCATCCTTAAAAAAAATGCTTCATATTTGTCTTTCAAAGGGATGTATAGGTGTCCAACTTTGTCCTTTTACTTGAAAGCCTTAAGAAAACAATTATAAATTGAGGCTACACTTACCGTAATCATTCCTTCTGTTAAAAAAAAATGATTTTGGTTATTAAAGAATCAGGTTTGAAAACTCTATTCTCTATCTTATTATATATTTGGTATCTGCCTTGAGATCCATTGTTTTTTTTTTTCAGATGCACTGCTTTAACTCAACAGCTCTCCAGAATTATCCTCCCACAGGTCTTTCCTTGTAGCACATGCATTCTTAGTCCCAGCTGAACCAGGCTACCTGAATATTTTACATGTCAGAAAATGTTTATTTACACAACCACTACTCAAAAACAGCTGCAGCAACCAGATATAACATTCTCTAATGTCATGCTACATTATGCAGTTTGCAATGATGAAGAAACACTCGCCTCTACATGAATATACATAAATTCTGCTAATAATTATAGTGAAATGGCTGAGCTTTCATCCGCAGATGGTCGAGTCATTGATAACTATAAATAAAAGCAAAAAAGGACCGGCATACACTGCAAGATAGGAAATAGTTTAGAAGCAGATTTGGGGCTTTTACCTTTGTTGATATACAACAATAAGTATATATGAACATTGTTTTTCACCCAAGTCTCTTACAGGTCAGTGGGCACAAACACGCGAAGAAGGTTTGGAATGAAACAGAAAATATCTGAGGAATCTGACAAGGTTCAGTGCCTACAGGGCATAAAACTGACATGCACACTAACTCAATAGTCTCCCTTCACCACTTTACAGTTCAGAAATCACACTTAAAGTTATAAATCTAAGGGGAGCTGCTTTGACATGTTGCTTGAATGTCTCTCTTTTGAAAAACCCACAACTGAAAAAGAATTAGTAGTCTGAAGTGCGCTTTAAAGCTGGCTTCTTTTAAGTTTCTATAACTAATCAATACCTCACTCAAGCATCTGCTTTGATAAAACCAGATTCTAACTGGAAAACTCATCTGCTTATCAAAAAGGAGACTGCAGGCTGGAATTGGCTGGATTACGCTTCTCACAGACCAACTTTAGATATATAGGACACTTTCACCTACATGAGCTTAGAAGTCTGAACACACTGAATAAGTTCCTACTGGACTCATGAGACTCTCAACTAACAGTAAAGCTTTTACCGTAAAGTATCCTTATAAGAACCTTTTAATTGAACAGAGTTGTTGAAAAATGCCACTGAGGTAAATTGAAGGGATGCTTAAGTTTTAATATTATTTGGTGCAATTAATGTTCTGCTTTTTTAAAGATCAACTCATTGTATAATATGTCTGTTATTTGCATGGTGATAACATATATAAAGTAAAATTAAAATATGCTGGTGAAGGTTCTCAGTCATCCAGGTCATAGTCATTCGAAAAAAGTAAAAAAAAAAAAAAAAAAAATGACTGAACTAAGTTTAAGCTTAAGCTTAAGTTATGGCTAAGAAAACATGCAAAGTCTAAGCTATCACATGACTTTGTTGGGCTACTCTATAAAGCTTGGAACTCAATTCTAATCCAGACATTTGGAATTGAAAAAGCTTCCTGGATGGGAAGCGAAAAGTCTTCAGACTTGGAAAACAAAGTCCAGTAATTTGTTGTTTTTTTTTTTAAACTTTTTTTTATAACTTTTTTGAAATATATATTAAAACATTTACAACCTAATTTAATGCCAGGTTTTAATGCTTTAATTTAAACTGCCCATTTTTATAATAATCTGACAGAATGGATTACAGGATATAACGTCTTAACAATTATGTTCAATAGGACTAAGATTGGGGGCCTTACAAAAGCTAAATCTTAGTCTTTATTTCTATTCCCAAACCATTTGTATGAGTTTTGTGACGCACTGTGAATATTAAAACCTTGTAGAGACCATAGTAGCACAAACTTTCAAAATAAAAGACTACATCCAGATTCAAGATAAACTTTTAAAGGCCATCCTGATACCAGCAAAGCTGACTTGTTTCTTTTGATCAATAGTCATGTTCTTGGCAGAAGAAAGGATAACAGTGAGAATATAGATATATAGGCTCATGCTCTATCTTCAGAGTATAAATTAACCAGGGAATGGCTTTTAATTCTATTTTACTCTGTTTTAGCAGTACGCTGAGAACACCTTATAATAGCTCAATCCCACCATGATGTTAGGCAAGGTTTAGCTTTGCTTGCTGATGTTCATCAGATGCTAAAGCATTAGCATTTACAATCTGATTCCACTCCTCCATTTTATTTGAAAAGTGACAACTGCACCCGAAATCTGAATTACAATATTTATATACAATCTTTAAAAAAAGAAGGTACACTCTATTAAAAGTCAAGGCCTTCATGTCTCTTGTATTATCTGTGGATCTGAGGGTGTACTTTGGATTATATATATATTTTTAGTTTTTTTACATTTTAAAATTTCCCTTTATTTTTGTTTTTCAAATATTGACTTGGTGGAAAACCGGTAACATTGTAACATTTTTTTTTTTTGTACAGATAATCTAGACCAGCTCCATTGCTAGCAAAGACAGAGGGTGTACTTTCTTTCCAGAAAGACTATAGTACATAAACTGAAATGTAGAAATATCAAAGGTACAAGTTGTATTTTATATTAAAAGACAATGGGCTGTCAACTCATGTGCTTTATCATCAAAATGTAAAACTGGACAATGCCGTTTGCCAAAGTCATCTCCTAACCCATCAGGAAAACAAAATCTATAAAAGCTCAACATGTCATACAAAAAGATGCATATAAGACTTTTTCCTTTATGTTTCTTTTATGAAAGCTGCTTTGGTAACAACATAGTCACGACATCGGATAATCTCCCTCACCTGGCCTATGAAGCTGACAGGGACTCCTTATCTGTCTTCTACATGGCGTATTTGAACATTTTTACCCTCAGTGTCTTCCCTCTGTCTCTAAAATCTAAATGGATGTATCTAGTTACACCGGAGTGGGCTCCACTTGTGTTCCCGCCTGAGAGCTGTCTCCACCTTAGATGCAACATCTGCTGGGAGCTGTTTGTCATAAAGATGTCCGTGCTGTGAAAGAGAGAGCTATTGTGCTGAGGGCTGACAGCGTGGAGACCTTGGAGGCTGAGCCGACTGCATTGGGTCCTGAAACGGTGGTCAAAACATAAAGGAAGTTAGTTGGCTCCATACTTGAGGAGAAAGTTACTAACCAGCCTTTCATCTGCAGTGCATTGTCAAAGAACTAATATTGGCACCAGTATTAACATACTTCATTACATTTTTTTGGATGGATAAAGAAAACAAGTAGCATGAATAAAATCCAGAGAAACAAATTACCTTTAGTAAACCCTCTTTGAAGGCAATAGCTAGGTTACCTCCTCCCAGCCAGTAAGGTCCAAACACCTGCTCCCCTGCTCTTGTTTTTAATATTATCTGCAGCTGCTTGGCAGGTCTGCTATTGCTTATGCTAATGCCAACCTTTGGTTATGCTCCCTTTTTTTTCTCCCTACTTACATAACTTAAACCTATTATTATATGTGCAGAATCCATTTGTGTCGACATTGGCATCCTAACTAGAAGTAAATATTTTTTTACCCTTTAAAAATTATATAACAATAATTTATATTTTGTATAATCAAAAAAAATATATACATTTACTTTTATATTCTGTATCGCTCTTGAATGTAAATGAATAATTTCGATGAAAATGTTGGAAACATGACATTTATAGGTGTAGAGGAGGATTTTCTTTTTCTGGTTGGATCATGAAAATAATTTGTCCTCCTAATTCTCAATCATTCTGGTGATGTGTTTGCGTAGTCGTCCTACGTCGTCCACATTTTCACTTGCTGGTGATGAAACTAACAATGCGGAAAAATTGCAAATCTTCTTTTGTAAAATAAGCTTGGATGAGCGATGCAACAGCAACTTTTAAACAGAGCGTGTACGAGGAGAATGGGCTCGTGCATGCTCTCGCATGCTTCTAATAGGCGTTCCCTCTCGGGAGCGGGTACAGGGTTGTGCATGCACATTTTTTTTTAAAGTGGAGAGGGCGAGTCTTTTCAAAAATTTGCAAAAATCCTCCACTATACCTTTAAAGGAAAAGTACGGTCAGTACTTTAAATATGAAAGTATTAAATACTGTTCAATAAATAATAATTGTTTTAAATTAAGAGTAATTTCATTTGAATGTGCTTTACCGCAGACATCCATGTTTGTCAAAGAACACTGCTGCCACCTACCGGTTTGTGATGTCAAGGTGTGGTATCGGCTGCTAAGCAAGTCCCAGTGCTGTATCTGGTGCTTGTTACAACGCACTATTATCCAAGTCATATTGAAAACATTCTTCTTCGAAATGTTGGCTGCATATTACGTCTTTTTTTCTCTGGTCAGAGTTTCGATTGCAAATTCTCCCTCTTCAAATTTGCAACCTGTCCTTGGAGGATCATTAATTTGGAAAGGTGAAATAACTAATATTCTTTTTCACTTTTACCTGATGTATTACAACATCCAACTGCCATGCACATGGGCATTGTCAGTTTAAGTATAGCTCTCGTGAATTTCAATGTTAAAGTCATCTAAAAATCTTCAATTATTGTTGTTGATTGCAGATATGTCTAGTAGCTCCCATTGATTTTGCTTGTAAAGCGGTGAGAATGGTGCTCGGCTTACTGCACCGTGACATAACTGTGGAGTGAGGTGTTACTATATTTGGGCTAAAATGGCTGGTCCAGGAAAATAATTATTTTCAACTTTTTACCGATTAACGCTTAATTCATTAAATCATAGCAAACATGTTAGTTCTAGGTATAGATGATGATCCATTGATCATTTCTTGCTGACCGGACTTTTCCTTTAACTACTGTAAACAGTTTCTGCTTCGTCTAAGAAGGCTGATCCAAAAAAGTCCAACAGTTATGAAAGCTTTTGCAAGCTGCTGTATTTAAACTGTGGTCATTTCATGCATACAGAGGAATCTGGAGCGGAAAACTGTTATGGTGAAACATAAAGACTTTAATTCCACAGACTTGCCCTCTAGCAGATATTATTATTACTCTGCTTTCCTCTGGAGATAATGAGGGCTCAACTGTTTTAGGGAATAAGATGATTTCTCAGAATAAGATGATTTCTCAGATCAGCCATGTGGAAGTCACTAACTAGCTTTTCTCTGACCTGCTATCCTAGGGATGGTGATCTGCTTGCTGCTGTTCCCGTCTCCTCCCTCTCCAAATGGCTTTATTTGGATGATATATTCCTCATCAGTCGGAAGAGCAAGCTCCACTGAGGTGGTGTTAGTTTCCATGACATTAGGTCGGCTGTGTCGATTCTTCTTGTATAGCACCTGTGGATGAGATTAAAACAAGAGTGGAGCGCGCCATGGCAACAGACAGAACCCTCTGATGAAGTGAAGAAGCTACGTGCTCACTTTGTAACCGGTCACTTCTGACTCGTTCTCCAGAGCTTTGACGTGCTCCCAGTTCAGGATAATCTTGGAGTTTGATGTGTTCCACATGACTTTAACCGGAGGCTGGCTGGGAGCTGAGATGAGAGGGGCAAATTATTCACCTTAAACAACAGCTGAGCTTTAAGACAGCTGCTAATCCATCCAGTCATCATTAGCCCTGAGATAACACACATCAGATAGTTTTTGGTTCAAAAGAAAAATTGAGCTTATATGTTTTGATTTATAGTTTATATTTTATAATCCTATTAGAGTAACTGATAAATGAAGTGGAGGTCAGCTATCCATCCAGGGTTACTGTATGCATGAAGCTAGACTAAAATAATTGCCATCATGATCATCATTCCGGTGCAACACTAAAGTCAAGGTGCAATGTGCTAACAGACCAAATTTTAGTTTATATGAATCATTTTCAACATGTGTGTTTTAGAGAAAATCACTCAAAGTTTTTCTATCAGACAAGAAACAGACCAAGCTTGGAAATATGCTTAATATAGTCCTTTTTCATAGCTAAAAACAGCACATTATCAAGGATATTGGTAGCTTAATGCTGGGTGCTTCATTCACTCCAATTGTACTGCATATTGCACAAACTTTATGTAAGGTTAAGACTGGTTTTTGAATGGACATAACAGACTAAGAGTAGAATTATGGATCCAATAATACAAAGAATTGTGAAATATATCAGCTTGTGTTGAAAGCTGTTTTATTGGAATAAAAATGTGCTCGGAAACTAGCTGAGAAACATTCAATCAATCAAACATAACCTATGTAGGGTTATATTTAAGCCTGCTTCTATATTTTCTTCTGCTGAATCTTATAAAGTATGGAAAATGATGAAAAGACTAACATTAAATATTGAAAAAGTTTATCTTCAGACTTTATTTCTCACTTCTAAAAAAATCTAACACATTCTTACTCCCAACTCGTGAAATATCGATTCTTTGTCAAAACCTTGAATGCATCAGATAGTGAAGCAAATAACCTGCGTTGAAAATTTTAGCCCAAAAAGTTATTGTTGGTAGCTCTAGGAGCACATGGTAACATCGACACAAGTGTTAAGGTTTAGGGGTTAGGGTATTAGATGTGCTAGTTTTAGCTTTGCAGTTTGCATTTCATGCATCCCTACTATAAACTCTCACGCACCCTTAATTAATAATTGACGAGTGGGCTATCCCCATCGAGTCAGTATCTGGAGTGCAGGGGGCTTGACCAAACGTCAATTTTTAACGAGGTGGGAGTGAGACTGCATTAAAAAAAATCTGAATTTTTGAAAACTAAAATTGGTGTGGTGTCTGCTGTGAAGTGGGCGCTGTACTGGTCTGTTGCGTTGAACGGAGGAGCTGAGCCAAAAGTTAAAGCTCTCGCTTTCATGAGCTCATGAGCTTTGGGCCATGACTGAAAGAAAAAGATAAGCGGCTGAAATTAGTTTTCTCCATAGTTTCTGGGCTCTCACTTAGAGATAGGTTGAAGAGCTCAGTCATCTGGGGAGGGCTCAAAATACAGCCGCTGCTCCTCAACGTCGAGAGGAGCCAGTTGAGTTGGCTCGGGCATCTGGTTAGGATGCCTCCTGGATGCCTCCCTGGTGAGGTGTTCAAGGCAAGTCAAACCAGGAGGAGACACATAGGGAGACCCAGGAAATGCTGGAGGGACTGTGTTTCTTGGCTGGCCTGTGAATACCTTGGGTTCCCCCCAGAGAAGTTGGCTCAAGTGGCTGGACCTCCCTACTGAAGCTACCCCTGTGACCCGACCGCGGATAAGTGGAAGAAGATGGATGGATGGATGGATGGATGAAAGCTAAAATACCTTTTATTTTGATTTTTTGAAGATATTCCTGCTACTTGATTTACCCAAATCCCATTTTTGACAGGCTCATTATTCCTTATGATTTCTGAATTATTGAAGCAATGGACAAATGTACATCCATTAAAAATGTAAATGATGTCAGTATTACATCTTATTTTTGAGATGTTTTGTTTTAAATCAGGTTTAGCACTGGGCAGGGCTTGTGGTGACTACACAACAGGGCAGACAAGGCGCCAGCCATTTCAGCACTGGACAGTACCACCCCAGGTTAAATCAAGTTCAGCACTGGACAGGGCCTGTGGTGACTCCAGAGCAGGGGAAGACAAGGCGCCAGCCATTTCTACACTGCAAAGTACTACACTAAGGGTTAAATCAGGTTCAGCACTGGACAGGACCTGTGGTGACTGCATAGCAGGGGCAGACAAGGCGCCAGCCATTTCAGCACTGGACAGTACCACACTAAGGGTTAAATCAGGTTCAGCACTGGACAGGGCCTGGAGGTGACTGCACAGCAGGGGCAGACATGGCTCCAGCCATTTCAGAACTAGACAGTACCACCCCAGGTTAAATGAGGTTCAGCACTGGACAGAGCCTGTGGTGACTGCATAGCAGGGGCAGATAAGGCGCCAGCCATTTCAACACTGGACAGTACCACACTAAGGGTTAAATCAGGTTCAGCACTGGACAGGGCCTGTGGTGACTGCATAGCAGGGGCAGATAAGGCGCCAGCCATTTCAACACTGGACAGTACCACACTAAGGGTTAAATCAGGTTCAGCACTGGACAGGGCCTGTGGTGACTGCATAGCAGGGGCAGATAAGGCGCCAGCCATTTCAACACTGGACAGTACCACACTAAGGGTTAAATCAGGTTCAGCACTGGACAGGGCCTGTGGTGACTGCATAGCAGGGGCAGATAAGGCGCCAGCCATTTCAGCACTGGACAGTACCACACTAAGGGTTAAATCAGGTTCAGCACTGGATAGGACCTGGGGTGACTGCACAGCAGGGGCATACCATACCAACTTTATTTATGAAGCACTTTATACACCGAACAGGACCAAAGTGCTGTACACAATCATAAAATACAATAAAATTATAAAATAGAGAAAAAACGAGTGTAAAATACATATTAGTATACAAAAAGAATAAAACAAAGTAAAACCTCTCAAATTGTGCCAAAAGCCAAGGAAAAAAGATGAGTCTTAAGAAGGGACTTAAAAACAGCAAGAGAAGAGGCCTGTCTTATGCTCAGAGGCAGATCATTCCACAGCTTAGGAGCTGCCACAGAAAAAGCACGGCAGACAAGGTGCCAGCCATTTCAGCACTGGACAGTACCACCCCAGGTTAAAATGTCAAGAATATATGAAAAGCACCTGGAAAATCATTAAAAAAGGGTATAAATAGTAACATTTTAATATAATAAATTGGTATGGACCCCAAGTTTATTTATGTGTTTTTTTCCCTCTTTTTTATCAAAGGTGTTTATGCCACCAAAGGAATGATAAACAACCCGTATGTTTCATTAAAAACAGACACAAATGACAATAAACGATTGCCAACTTCAAACCAGCGTTGCGTGTGTGATACTTGCGTGGTTTTTTGGTGGTCACATTGACTGTGGTGCTTGAAGGGCCTGTTCCAGCTGTGTTGTAGGCCCTCACTGAGATATAATAGACGGTGCTGCCTCTCAACCCACTGATGACGGTGGATGTCTGATTCCCTGTGGTCCTCAGTATGCTGGCCGTCTCCTCCCTCTCACTTCTACTCCAGTACCTCAGCTGCAAGGCAACAAGGCAGATAGGCAGACGGTGAGGGTGCTGTAAAAGCTTTCTGCTCCCACCCTGACAGCCAAAAGCACACCTAAAACAGGGACATGTGAACTCAACTAGATGGAAGATGTGAAGTGGTCTGAAAAATGGCAGCAGCAGCACGTCACCATGTGAAATGTGTTGTGGTTTTAATTATGAGGTTTAAAAGTAACAAAGGAAAAAAGTAAAAAAAAAATAAATGTCAAACAACTAATGAATAATCTGATAGATAATTTGCCCAAAAGGCCTAAAAAATATGAACATAATCTGGTTGTCTTCAGCAAAATGTATCTGTTTTTGAGATGTTCATTCTTTTTTCCAAAGCAAAGAAAGAAATCAGCCTTTTTGTTCAGTTCCTTGATTCTAATAATGAGACAAATTAAAGTGAGATGAACAAACTGAGCACAAAGCTGCTGTCTAAAACTGCTTTGTTGTGTGGATTAGAAGCTAAACGCTCTGTCCCTTGGAGTGTTGCATCAGTACGCTAATCAGGCCCGTTACACTACTTAGGTAAGCAACAAGAGAAACACACTTAAACCCACAGGCTTGGGGAATAGGCTCGGCCATTATGTATGCAACAAGCTATTATCTCGTATGCCCAAGGTGCAGGAGCCTGGAACGCTCATCAATAATAGAAGAGAACAAGATTCAGCAGCATCAGCTGCCATATGCACGCTCACACAAACAGCCCTGGCTCACCTCGTAGCCCAGCACCCTCCGCTTGCTGGCGTTCCAGGGCAGGGCTTTCCATGACACCTCGATCTCAGATGCAGAGAGGCTCTTGAGACGGATCCTGGTGGGAGCTCGGCCAGGCTCTGGAGTCATTGTAAAGATATTTCAGGAGGGATGGTTAGCCTTGTTGGACCGCCTCAAAAGAGGGAACATTCATACGGTTTCAAAGCCACTTGCTTCATCTGAACATTAAAAGTAGGGAAGTAGGGTCAAGTTGCCAGCGTGTGTTGAGAGAAAAAACTGGTTATGAGTCGGATGTTGCAACCACTCGGAGCCACCTAGAGCTCCTGCTTATATTTCAACACATTTAGTTCAAACACATTGACATCCACAACCTTTAATTTGTATCATTAGAAATTAATGTAACAGACTGACTAAAACTAATGCATATTTCTTTCTACTATAAAAAGATATTTGCATTTGCATTGATCATATTTTACAGAACAGCATTAGGAATTTTGGGTAAATCTCTATTAGCTAAAGTATTTTATAAGACAGCTGCTGTTCAGTGACTTTTCAAAGAAATTCTACATCATATCTACGCCTGAACCTTGGCTGAACCACTGCAGCACTTTGAATCAAACCGTTCCACTTTAGGTCTAGCTGTATATTTAACCTTGCTGTCCCGCTGGAAGGTGAGGCCATTTTCTCTGCTCTCTAACAGAGTGTTGTCAAGTTTTGTCTTGCATGGTCTTATGGAAGAGGTAGCCTAGTGTTCAGAGAGCAGGGTGTATGGGTTCTGCAGAAGCCAGGGGATCTTTGGTTCAAAAATCAGCCTATTACTCAGGACCACTGAGAAAGACCCTTAACCCCCGATCCTCCCAGGATACTACTCAGCGTGGCAGCACACAAAGGGATAGGTCAAATGCAAAGGACAAAACTTACCCTCTGAGGGACTATAAAGGGATAATTTTTATTTTCTTTCTTTCAGTTAACTCTATCTGTCTTTACAAGCGCTCTGCCCAGCATCCCTGTCCCTGCATGCAGAAGAAAGGCATCTGCACAGCATGAGGCTCCCACCACTACGACTCACTGAAGGAATTAGATATGGCTTCACCATCGGTTGGTTTCTACTAGTGTTTTTTTGACTTTGTGTTATTCACTAATGTTTTTTCTTAGATCTGTAAAGAAAAGTCCAATGTTGTTTGTTCCATCCATCCCATGCAGTTTTGCTTGTGGGTCAGCTTTGGTTTCATCTATCCTTCAGAAAGTTTGCTCTGTCTGCTACATGCCTTCCATTTTTTTTCTTTATTTTCTAATATTTTTTTGCATCACACTCCTTTACAGAGGTTAGACTCGTAAATTGTATGTAAAATTGTTTAAGATTCTTCATGCTTGACCTAATGTTTCAAACTAGTTTTGATTATGAGACTACTGGTTTGCTGCTGTGTTTTTATATTTAACTGAACAGGATTTTAGGACTAAGTTAAACTAAGTTTTTTTTATTACAACTAAACCCTGCTTTACATTTCTACAAATTTCACTTGACTTGTCTGATGTTTTGTTTTTTAAGAAGCTGTTGTTTTCAAAATAATGCAGGCCTTCACATAACAGCTTGATTTATACCAATAATAGTTTATAGGATACACTCAATAAAACGGCTGTCTGCATTTCTATGCTGGTTTTTGTTGCTCTTTCACTTAAAATCAGAGTAAAATAATTTAACTGAAATTTGTAACTGTAATGTAATACAATGGGAACAATAAGAAAGAACTCAAACTGATCACAACTAAAACGGACTTAATCATGATCTTCATTTATTATTTGATTTTAGTGGGATTTATTTTGTACTACTACTGGACTTAAAGAAAAATGCTGATTATAAGCAAAATGTAAATTTTACCTGAGTGAAATTAGCCCAGCTGTTAAAGATTGTATAGGTATAGCACAAGAAATGTGTGATATACAAAAATATTGACTTTTTCTATAAGACCCCTTAAAGGTAGTAGGCTAGACAAATGAATTTCAAAATTGAAATGACTCTCCTCTCTGTCTATGTAAAGATGACTCATTGTTCATCACTTCAACTGCTATTGTTTGATCTTGTGCCTGCTAAGTTTAGTTTAAATACTTATCTTTTCATGGATCATTAGGTAAAAACACAGTAGAATGTGGAAGATATTAAAAAAGACAGAACAAAGTCTGAAGGTGAAATTTTAATTTTACTTTTTTAATTCTTTCTACTTTTTTTTCTAAATCTCGTTTTTTTAGCCACATCTGTATGACTTTATTTTTCAATAGGTTTCCCATGTTCTGTTCATAAAATAATAATAAAAAAAAAGAATGTATTTAATCTTATTTTACTGGGCGAGTGAATAGATAAATGTGAACTTAATTATTGCTGCTTTTAATAAAATAGTTATTATGCATTTACTGCGTGATGATCTGTTAAGAGTAAGAAAATCCAATCAATCACACGTTTAGTGCAAGCATGAGGAATTAAAAATGAATCCTGCATGTATTCATCATTCATGCTCTAAGTCACAATCAGTCATGAACTTGATGATTTGATTAGCAACATTTGTTGAAGTGTTAAACATTTTAAAATTTACTGGACCAATTCCTCAGGTCCTTTAAGGGGAAGGAAACAGTCACAACTATTATAAATATATAAAGACGAAACATAAACAGCAATGTTTATTAGATAGGTTTAGGAGTTTTCCTTTGAATCTGCATTTGCCTCTGTTTTCTTTGGCTTCAGTAAAAGGGTCCCTTTACACACCTTCCTCGGCTGAGTAGATAGTGGTAACCGAGCCAAATGGCCCCTCGCCCTCGTTGTTGTAAACCCCGACCCTCACGTGGAAAGGCGAGAAAGGTTGGATGCTCTCGTTTTTAAAAACATATCTGGATGCCTCTGGGGACGGCACGGCTGCCTGCATCCAGCCCGTGGCGCCTCGAGGTCGGAAAGCCACCACATAGCCGAACCCTGGTCCATTCTGCAGCTCCTCTGGAACGGGCTAAAAGCAAATAAACAAAAACATATAAATATATACCATCAACATTGCGGACAAGCCTGCTTTGTCCATGCAGCATGGTTTGGTAAGAAATACTGGATGAGAATAGAGGCTTTCGAATTTGAAGGCAGCACAAGGCTTCAGATATAACCCCCTGCTGGACACACTAGTGCTTTTACTGCACACATTCATTACACAGCACAGAGCCCTCAACACGATAAGGTAAACTCAGCTCCACGCTGATAACAAGGCCCAGACTTGGCTCTGCTAGATAAACCAACCCTCTTTCCTCCTGACTTCAGAAAGGCACATGCTCTATTTCCACACACACACACACACACATACATACATTGAAATTTTATATATATATATATATATATATATATATATATATATATATATATATATATATATATATTTATTTGTTTTCTATTTATTTATTTATACATTTCCTCCTATGTAGGTGTATGAAGACCATAGGTAAAATGGTGTGTAAAATTGGATATTCATCCCTAAGAGCATTGCACAATCTTTATTCAAACTCTTATGTCTTCTGAAAAAATCTCACAAGAAAAACAATATTAGACATACGTGTGTTTTACATATTCAGGACTGTGGCTAAGTCAGCAGGGGTTAATTCACTAACAGTGATTTGCTGATTTAGTCCCCCACCGCATCGGTCTCAGTTATTGTGTCCTTAGGTGTTGTTGATCAGAGGGCATCATGAGAGCTGTACTTTAACAGGTCGTCTATTTATACATTTGGATGACTCTTAATTAACCAAGCAGATACGATATGTAAATAGCGACCTACTGAGACTTTAATGTGAAATTATGAATGTGTAGGGACTTGGTATTTAGAAATCAGTCCATATAATCAATCAACTCTAACTGATTGAAAGAAAACAGGATTTAGGTCATGAATCTAACTTGGCCATTCTAGGCACCAGCTAAGTTTACAACAATCACAGTACATACTGGGGGTTCCAGTTCAAATTTTTGTAAAACAATTCCTTAAAGCGTCTCTGTATTTAGACACTGATTTTAAAACACCTGTGGAAATATGAGGAATCGGAACAGGATATTTTGTTTAGGTTGAGTAATAGGTAGGGAAGTTAGTATGTTATACTGTAGGATATACATGGAAAACAACTGAGCACAGAGCAAGAGAGGATTTATTTCAGAATTTAAATAAGAGGAATAATCTACAAGGCTTTTCTTTATCTCCAGGTCTCACTCAGCCTGAGCTGCATTTTTCCTGCTGAGCAAAAACAAACTAACAGCAGGAAGATCCATGGACGAATAGAAAATCAAATAACCTTTCAGAGGAGGTCTGGCAAAACAATTCAAAGGAAGAAATCAGACACAGCGTGCAAGTTTAAGTTGGAAAAGCAAAAAATATATTTTTGCTCCTGTTTTCTTTTTCTGTCAAGGTCTGATCTGCAAAGAGATCTGTAGACAAAACTATTATACTTACATACCTCTACTGACTTAGATTTAAACAAGTTCTCCATGTTCCTCATTTTCTCAGATATGAGACTTTTTCTCACAAACTCAGTTCTACAAAAATGAACCAAATCTCCAAACATCTCTGGGTTCTTGGGGACAAAGATCAAATTTTAATCTCATTACAGATTCTCCAGTTTCTCATGTGGGCTGCGGTGTTAGCTTCTACTAAACCTTTAGGTTTTGATTTTTCATTTCCAAAAGAATAGCCCCTTTATCTCTGTGCACGCACTCACTCACTCGTGCATTGCTTAACACAATATGCATAGTCCTTCCGGTACTAAGCAAAGTAACTATATCAGAAAAAGTCCTAAATAAATATTTACACATTGAATAGTTTGTGAGTTTAGCCCCAGTTGTATTGTATTGAGTTCCATTTATATCAGTAAGGACATTTAATCTGTGCTTCTGTGTTAAAAAGAAAAGCACTTGAAGAATTTCACCAGTTAAGGACAAACTGAAGCTTTGCTGAGCAAATGTTTCTCTATAATTGAGCTTTTGTGTTTGGAAACATCAGAACTGATTCTGTGAAACCCTCCACAGCAGGCGAATCTCAGTTAGCCTGAATAAACAGGAGCTATTTGAAGGTTGGCTGATATGAAGAGGCTCTGTTAAAACAGAGAGGCAGAAACCAAACGAAAATCAGCTGGAGACAAAAACTGTGACTTTGAACAAACTATGACTTTAATTATCTTATTGAAACCTCAAAACCATTCCTCTACCCCTCCCCAGGGTGACAGCCGCAGCTATTGCCTCTGTGTTTTTAAAAATGATATGCCATACATTAGGCTGTTCCCTGGTTATTAATGAAACAGGCCCATACTCAAAGAGAGTAATGACGTTTGGCGGCCTCCTACATGGGTGAAAGGCTTCCTGAGCGAGCTTGCTTACCTCCCATGTGATGACTAATTCGGAGCGACTGCCTCCTCCTCCACTCACATTAGCCGGTGTGACCTTCGGAGCTGTGGGTAGTAAAACAGATCAGCTCAGCCACCTTGAAACTCCGAAAGCAAAACTTACCAATTCTCTCTGTCTGGCAAAGAGAGGCAACATCACACAGTAATCCAACAAGGATGGAAGAAACAAGATGGAGAAAAGAAAAGGAATTTTAGGAAATGTTTTCGGTTTGAAAGGAGTTTTCCGTTTGCTGTAGGATAACAGGCAATAACCAGCTTCATCCCTTAAAGGTTGTATTCATAGAGTTCAAATAAAGCTGAAAAACACTTGTATTTCTTTTACAAGTTCAATCTACGTTTAGATTTCCAACTTTTTTGTTGGATGGAACTCTAATGTTTGCTACATTAGGTTTACAACTAAATATTATCTTAGAAATGACAGCTAGACTTGAAATTATACTGTGGGTTAAAAAGATATCAAATCACAGGGTAAAGTGGTTTAAAAAAAAGCAGCTATAGATTCATAATTAATGGCATGAACTAAAAAATACCAACATTTTAGCTTTCCTATAACAAATCTATTAATATATGGTTTTTGAGAACTTATTCACACCCAGGTAAAATAGCATGGAGTCCACCAACGTCTGGTGATTGTTCACAGGAACAATTAGAATCTCTGAACTGCATACAAATATGTATGCTGTAAGTTTTCCATTGGCTGAAAGTCTGGGATTAGACTTAGACCTAGACTAATTTTATTGTCACTTTGTATACACAGAGTGTATACATAACTAAATTTCGTTTTGTACAGATTTCAGACAGTAAATGAGCAGCAGCTTAGCTTAGACCAGAATCTGTGTGAATTTTAAACTTGTGGGTCTGGAACCAATATGCTGCTATGTTCTCTTGCGGAAACACCCTTTTCTGGATTAATTTCTTGTCCCCATATGGCAGCAGCATCTCTTTGAGTATAATAATGTGTTCAAATGGATTTATAATGCCTTATATGTGATAATTAAAGATCCCCATAGCATTATGCATCAACCACTGTGCTTCACAGTGGATTGTAGCTTGAACTCGTTGTTTGGAGGTCATTTCTCAAACTATCTGTGGCTCCCACACCTAAAATCAATTATTTCGATCAGCTGATAAAACGTCTCTCCATTTCTCTTTGGACCAGTGCAGTAATTGGAAAACTATGCAGTTGTCACAGTACCGGAAAGTATCTGTAATTTTTCTTTGAAAGAAGCCGATCGTTAGCAAAGTCGTTATCGTTTTGATAAAATAGGAACATTTACCATCTCATATTTTGATGAAATCTTTTTTTCTGAATATTTTCAATCGAAATATTTGTATTTAATATTTTCAATCAAAATAAACGGCTCCTTTTCTTTAATGTCTTTCTATTTTTTTATTTTTATTTTAATGGTTCTTTGATCCGTTCAGCTGAGCAGCCAATCAGTTTACTTTTAATACATTTTACACCCATTAAAAGTGAAGTTTCTGAAACATCCCAACTTTTCAGAGTTTCAGGAATCCACTTTGACCAGCATGAAGAACATATGCTGCCTGTTTGACGCCACTTTGTTCTGCAGAACGAATGACCTCAGTGATTGAATTTCACACTGCTATTATTTTGAATACAACCTTTCAGTGGCATGTCATGACTGGTTGGTCTGTTGGTTTTCTATTACTGTGCTCCATCAACTAGAAAATAAAATCTAAATATAATCTTTACCAAAATAGTTGTTTGAATTGGTCACAAATGTTTATCTACTATTGCTTCTAAATAACATTTTAATATCCAGGACCTTGCTTTAGTTTTGACATCATAGTTGTTATAATAACAAGTGGAAAATACAAAAAAAAAAGAAGGAAAAAGCTAAAATAAGGATAAGCATATTAGTGGATATAATTTTTTTGCACTTGAACATGAAACATAATAAAACATTGGCCCCTTTCAGATCAAGCTTTTATCCCAGAATCCACACAAGTTTTTACTCATATTGAAAAGTCCTGACATATAATGTGAAGGTCGAGGTCAATGCCTCTAATTTAATATAGGAGTTCCAAAATCAGATGTAATGGTATGGTAGGACTGTGACTTAGTAAAGCAACAGTAAAGTTGCATTAGCAGCAAAGTAAAGAGGTTAAACCTCAGCAGAGCAGCTTCAGAATGTTTCAGACAGAGTAAGCATCCTGACAGAGATCCAAAGCCCCACTGGCAAAAGAGAAACACTATCTGGTGAGCCTTATGTAATAAATAAATAAGTTGCCCCCTACGTCTGCTTTTTGTGGTGCATTTGCACTGGATGCACAAACGAATGACATCTTGAATACTTTTGAATACGCAGATGTGCTGTTCACACGCTTTGTATATAGCAACATCTTAGTTCTGTATTACTGATGGTACTAGCCAACTGTAGCAGGAAACTACAAACAGAAGAACAATTATTTTAACTACACAATACACGATTTGCATCTGAAATTGCTCCTTCTCTTGAGCATTTTGTTTTTGATGCTGTACATTAAAGGCAGATAAGGATCCAAAAAGGCTCTGTAAACATGCCAATGCCTCGATTCTTCGCCAAAATTGATGAAGGAAACAAAACACCAAAGAAATTATAGGGTTCAGTTCTGATTGGAAAGTACAAAAATAACCAAGCTTGGTCTTTGATTATCAGGGAAGGACTCATTCTAGCACAGAAGTGACGGATTAGCGGACCAGGGTCCAGATCCAGACCCACTTGCTGGTTAATCCAGCCCCAAATTGATTTAAAACATTTATAAATTACTGCATGTTGTCCAACGACATTGTCTAAAAGTCCCTTGAGCCGCTTCTCCTGTTTGTATGGTAAACTGTCTATATACCAGACTGAAAGATTGTTGTGCTCTACTTAAAAAAAAAACTAGATTTTAAAATGGAAAAACATTATATTTTTTATAAAAAAATGTAACGCATAACATGGAGGCATAAAGTTTGTCTCTGTGTTGTCCTGTGATGGACTGGCGACCTGTCCAGGGTGTACCCCGCCTCTCGCCCATAGACAGCTGGAGATAGACAGCAGCACCCTCGTGACCACACTTGGGATTAAGAGTGTCAGAAATTGGATGGATGGATGCATAAACACCTGCATTTTATTTCAGTGTTAAATCCGGACCCTTACTGGTTTTTGATTTTCTTTATTCGGAACCCCACTGATTATTAATTGGTTACCCCTGTTCTAGCACATCTAAGTCCATAGAGTTTGACTGTTAGCAAAATATATAGGTATGAAAAACAAATGAAAATCCTTAACTGTGTTTACCTAAAAATGTGTTGTTTGTTGGAAATTTAAGGAAATATGGAGTGATGAAGAATAGTGCTCTGACAGATTTGCTTTTTGTATGAAGCTTCATAAGGACTGGCAGAAGGCATAATTGCAGGCTTTCTCATTTCTAGGTACAACATAGTACGTACTGGTGCTCTTCGTCCTAGCTTGTTTGGACGGCTTGCTGGGCTCACCCGTCCCGACTTTGTTGCTTGCCAGGACCCGGAACTCGTACTCCACCCAAGGGCTCAGCGCTATTACTGTAGCTGTCAGCTGGTGGCCCCCTACAACCTCAGGAACTGGCAGAAAACACAGAATGCCTCCAGTTAGAACAAACTCAGCATGCCTCAATGTGTGTGTAAAGATTATTCACCAAGGCTGCACAGCTATACAAGCCTTCCAAAATATACACTCCACTTGAACATCACAATCACAAACCTAGATGTTATTATGATTTTTTTTAACTAAACAGTACAAACTAAAACACAATTTTCTTTAGAGGAAGAAAGATGACAGAAGATAATGTGAGTTAAAGATAAATGTTTGATTCACATTTCATACACATTATACTTTATAGAACCCCCTTCTAGTGCACTTACAGCTACAGGTGTTTTTGGGTATGTCTCTGTACATCAGTAGTGTTCATTTTTTTGCCCACTCCTCTTTGGTAATAGCTCCAGCTTGGTCAGATAAAACAGGGAGCATCTGTATAGATTTACTGCCATGTACTGCAATAAACTCTTAATTTGATTTACATCTGACTTTAACTGGGCCTTATGAAAAAAACTAAACCAGTTTCATGTAGCTAATGTCAAAAGACATTGTTTTCCTCAAAGATGGACTCTAAACCTAACTTGAGTCTTCACAACCTCTAAGAATAGTTTTTGTGTAGTATTGCTCTTCCATCTTTCCCATTAACATCTTTTAAGCCATTAAATGGTAAAAAATGGACTCCCTTCAGCATGATGGGGCAACTATCATTCTTTATAGCGGCTTTCGAACAGTATGTCCACTAGAATGAGCAGTTATAGTTCTCTATCACATAAAGCAGCATGCATGCAGGCTAGAATGTTCAGTTTCCATTTCATCTAACCAAAGCACATATGTTTGCTTCATGTGACTCCACAAGGCTCTTGGCAGAATGCAAATAGAAAAGAATTTCTTGCTGAATTTTCTTGGTGTCAATCTTTTGAGTCGACAATACTAATACATTCTACCTAATGAGTGCTTCAGATCTCTGCAGCTTAACAAGAGTTACCAACGGCTTTTTGGCTTTTTTTTGTCATGAATGCTGTGTTCCTTAGTTTTTTTCTACCTGTGTTTGTTGCTTTACATGGTTTCTGTACTCTCTAATAAATGCCTTCATTGAAGACCCACATTTGTACTGAGACTAAATTACACACATAGAAACTAGGTACCTCCTCAGTGCACTTGGTTCAACTAGATTTTATTTAAAGGCTTTATACTAAAGGGGGCTTAATACAAAGGCTCAACAAAGTTAAAAAAAAGCTGAAGGGGTGCTATATTCATAGAATTTCTAGCTGAATAAAAAATGTAAACATAAATCATCGCCATGAATAGTATTAATCAAATTGAACTTTTCATAAACTCTGTGTGGGATTTACAATCTTAGAATCCCTGCTAGAAACAAAACACTGTGAGCAAGTAGAGGTGAGTCCATTAAATGTTACAACATCCTTCTGCACCTACAATGTCAATGTGTTCTTAAAAAAAAAAAAATGATGGAAAGACCGTAACACTAGGAGTCCAGAAATATCAATAAAAGAGGGTATAAGGTGCGGGATGAAAGTGCATTATACAGATAATGCATGAATGGTAAGGATCCTATTAAAAAGGATATGCTGTATAACTACACTATTATATTACAGCCATGGTAACACAATTTTTCATCAGGAAGAGATCCAAGTTACAGGGCTCCCAGGGGTCCGATAATACAGCGGTCAATGATCCCGGCACTATTGTTTGCCATTTGGTGGAAGAGGAAAAAAAAAATATTACCCCTCCAATATTTTCACAGATGAGGAAGAAATGAAGAGCGAACCTTTACTTGTGACTGGAGGAGGCCACGGCTGGTTGGAGAGAGCTTACCTGTGGTGACAGCCTGCCACCCCAGGGAAAATGGTGTCCTGGCCTGAATGGTGTATGCCGTAATTGGACTGTGATTATCAGGACCAGGCCTCCAGGAAAGAGACGCGGTGGTATCAGTGATTTCTTCTACTTGAATGCTGGTGGGTGGCCCTGGGGGACCTGGTATATACCATAGTCAGGCAGGAAAAAGAGGGGAGAAAAACAGACAGAGAAGATGAGATGTAGTTAGGAGGGGGAGCGAATGTAAATCGGGAGGAGACAGAAAGATGGGAAGAAGAGTCATAGTGGTTTTAGCACCTGCAGCAATGGCAGCAAAGGAGTGAACCCTTTGGGAGCCGTTTGGTCTAATTAGACAGTACATTTTCTTTAAACCTTGAACAGATAACATTCAACTTGCCCAACTTTGTAGCCAGCTACTTTAGTCATTTGTCAGTGAATGAACCATGCCTTATTATTCTATTTTACAAGGTGTGAATGTAGTTAAAAGAAGTATACATACTACCACAGCTTACCTCGAACTACTAGGTCCACAGCTATGGAGATGCTGTCCACCTTGGTCTGCACAGCGCATGTGTACTTCCCTGCGTGGCCCAGCTGGATGTTCCGAATCATAATGTCTCCCGCTGAGTGCTGCTGCCATTCAGTGCACAGAGAGACCTCTATAAGTATGGCTGTAACCCTGCAGCTATTGGAATTCAAAAACAATCCTGACATTGCTAGCCTTGTGGGAGCACATCCAGCCTAGAAGAAAGCTCATTTTCATACATATGTGTGTCCTGAAAACTAAATCCATAAATCCGCATGCAGCTTCTCCCTCTTCTATCCGAGTGGGACACGGCAAAACCGCTCAGTGCATTGACTTCATCTGTGTAATTACAGAAATGTACTTCCTCTAACAGTCTTATTGGGACTGCACAATGTTATATGAGCAGCCTAATGGCTAGTCTGATACTTAGTCCTTTAAGAGAGCCCTTCATTTCGTCTCTAATTACTATTCCCACTCCTACATTATCATTTCATCAGAGTGGAGCTGAGCAGGTTGAGTAATAAATTGAAGATGGCTGAAAGCTGTGGCAAAGTGATGGTGGGAATTCAGAGGAGTGGCCCAGGGCTTAATCAATTTAAGTGGAGATGAAGAGCCATTTATTAAGGGGCTGAAATGTTAAATCACACTTCAAGAAACACCTAAATTATTAGAGAAACTAGAATGCACAACTATATAATTTTTCTTCATTTTTTATGCATATAGCTTTTAAATAAACCTTTATATTATTTGCTACACACACAAAAAAGAAAAAAGCAAGACAGTGTATATGTTGGTTAGCTGTGAGATGTAGTTCTTTTTAAAGGATCCACTGGTAGCCTGCATAAGGTTGCAGGTTGAGTATGTAAATTTCATTTTAGAATTAACCGGAGGCAGCAATTTTATATCCATAAATAATAAAGTTGATACAAACATTCCCTCTGCAATGCAGCTGAATTTATTACTGCCCTCCTAAAAGAAGCCGAGAATGGACCTATGAATCTTCGGAGTCACCTTTCAACCTTTGTTCATTGAAATCTCTGAAGGCAGCTGAAAGAAAATAAATCAATATCTTTTATGTCCTGTGTTCCTGTCAGGGCACAGGGGAACCAATAAAATGAGGATTTTTCCAGATACCTCAGGAAGCTTTGTGTTTTCATCAGCACCTTATCTAACAAAGAGTGGGGCATGCCTGGCATTATTTTAACTAGCATTCCTGCAGGCATTTCTGTTGCTAAATATAAATTCTGCTTTAAAATAACTTAGGATCATGTAGAGAAATGGAAATAGTATTCTAAAGGCTAGTTGATGTGGCTTAATATGAAGGAACATCTATTGAGCTGGATGTTTTGACGGTCAGTATGAATGAAACACAGAGAGCAACACCTTCCTATTGGTGGCTAGAGAGCTAATATTAAACAGCACACACTACTGCTAAAAATACAACTGGTTATAAGAGTTTCTAAACTCAGAACTGAATAGCTGTGCTACAGTGCTAACTTTAGCTTTTAACAAATAAAGGGTGAACAAGCAGCTCTAAACCATCAAACTACCACCACCATTTGTGGCAGTGAGAAATCCTCTATAAGTTTTAATCAAGATTAATTGAGACTCACACCATCCAACCATTTGATTTTTTTTTTTTTTGGAAAGATTTCTGAAACGTCTCACAAATAAACAAGATGTTTTTTATTTGTGTTGTTGTAGGTAATATGAGACTGCCTTGCAAACAAGATTAATTGTCATGGGATTTTTGTGTCTGGATATTGCCATCATGGTTACTGAGGTCAGGCCCACCTGATTTGATCAGTTTTACCAATAATGAAAGACAGGAGATCAGGGAGCTTTTTTTAAAGGTATAGTGGAGGATGTTCTTTTTCTAGGTGCATCATCAAAATAAGTGGTCCTCCTAATTGTCAATCATTCGAGTGATGTTCACGTAAGGCCCCATTTTCACTTACCGGTGGTGAGTCTGACACAGTGGGAAAATTGCAAATCTTTTTTCGAAAAAGTAAGCTTGTATGAGCGATGCAAACGCGACTTTTAAAAATTAGCGTGCACGAGGAGAAATGGGCATGTTTAATAGGTATTCCATCTCTGGAGCAGGAACAGGGTTCTACATGTGCATTGTTTTTTTAAAGTGGAGAAGGTGGGTCTTATAAAAAATTCGCAAAAATCCTCCACTATACCTTCAAGTACAGGAAGTAGGAGAGTTGTGCATATATCCCATTGATGGGTTACGTTTTTTTTTTTTTTAAGAGTAAAAGGATGGGACTTTTGTCTTTCTGGATGGGAAGACCTTTGCAAGTTCGTCCCAACTAGATTTGTTAAGATTTTAATTTATCAGTTCACTCTACTAGTTGTGAAACAAAACAAGAATGTGATACACCAAGCTTAACATGAGAGGCACTAATCTGGCTTATGCCAGGTTAAATATGAGATTGTCCTATTGGACCGTGGATTGTCTCACGGATACAATATTTCTCTTTTCTACTACTGAATCATGTAAACTAACCTTTACCTTTACTTGAGTGTTGGTGTAAAACCAAACCAAAATGAAGTGTCTAATCACAGCTAATTATTCATAAGGGTGTTCTACATAGCATTCCACTGTCTTTGATTAAATGAAATCCATGTCCTGCATATATTAGCCATTTCCCTGCTGCCACTTTAATGAAAAAAAAAAATTACTCTGTGCTTTGTGTTCTGTGCAAAATCCTACTGCCACAAAATGTCGTCAGTTCTCTGACCCTTTCACCTCAATGACTGATTGGTGTTCCTGTCTTCATTGATAAGTTTTCTGGACGCACATAGTCATAGGACTCATTTGAATAACAACTTGCTGTCACAAGGTCAGCTGTCAAGGACCCATAAAAGAGACTGATAACTCTGTTGGCCAGAGCAGGCTGATGCACGGTGATCTCTGTTCTCCATATGCATTAGCTTTAATAAAAACAGTTTTCATCTTTGCAGAATCCTTGACAGAGTTTTCATCTTTGCAGAATCCTGACAGCCAGAGTTAAGAGTCAAGGACCTAAAAAATTTAAATGGGTTAAATAACTTTTTAGCTTTTTCATTACACTGTGTGGTGTTTAGGATGATGAGCATCTATGTATGAATGTAACACTGCATTGAAGCCTCATATACTATTTACTAGAATCAACAGTGATCCTTACAGAATGCTATCAATTAGGTCACTAGTTTCCTGTGATAAGAAGTACCACATTTTTACTAGAAAGTTGTCAGAAACATTCAAAGACAGATTGTGGACTTACGCCTCCAACTTTTTCGAAGAATCCGCCATTGTTCCCAAAGTGGATGAGCTGCTCGTTGAAGAACCAGGTGAACTTAAGCTCCAGAGACGGGTCGTGGCTCACCTGACATGGCAGAACCACACTCTCCCCAACAGTGATGTCCAGCGTTGTGGGCTGTGTAGTGATGATGGTTGGCTCTAAAACACACATTCAGGCACGTATCATCAAACTTCTTTATTCCTTTTTCCACACAAGTGATGGAAACAGCAGAGCCATTCCATCATTCTTATGGATATGTCAGGCTCAGTTCATAGAAGGATATGCAGGAAGGAGCACACAGCAAACCAGTGTGCACAGCTACAATAAGAGGAATTTGTCTCAGCCAAAACTCGCGTCCATCGGGACTCTGTGACGTGTCTTTCCTAAATTTGGGAAGCAGCCATGAGTCACTGTCAGATCAGTCCAGAGCTCTCCTCCACAGGCTGTAAATTCCCTGAGCAATGCAAAGGAAAACACTAAACAGCAATCCCTCTAATCTTTGATGCTTCCCTTCTACGCCTGCAGCATGGATGCATTTCTAACACATGGGAATAAAGTGAGTGTCCTTTATCTGTACTTGTCTGAGAGCAGTGGAAGAGGAAGCTGTAAAGACATAAGAGAGGTGAGATGAAAAGGTGAATCTTTGTTCTTCTGAGTGTGCAGCACCTGTCTTCCTCTTGGGGGTGCTGAGATTACTTGGCTGAAATTGCCACTCTGAGCACAAACACACATGGAGTAAATTAACCATGGCAAATAATTCCAGGTGTGGGCATGGCTGCATGTAGAAAGTGCCGGCAGTGCATTCTTCATTCAGGGTAAATTTAACAGGTTCTGGTGTCTCCTTCTCTCACACTTGTCCTTCATGTGATTCATCCTAGAAGACAAAAACACCATCGACTGGCAGGTCTTGTAGTCCACACAATAAAAGTGCCTCCAATAGGCCAACTCCTTTATTACAGGGACTAAATGGTGGATGAAGGAGCTGCAGCAAACAGTGACATGAAAAGAAAGATCTGAGGTTCTTTGTAAATCAGGGTCTAACTACATTGTGATGCTGGATACACACTGTGGAATGTGAACAGGAAATAATAATAAAAAAAGAAATTAAAAGTGAAAGAGCATACTTCTTTTAAAAAAGCTTTGTGAGAATTGAGCTTTAAGGAACGTAAGTGGAGGGAAAATAAAAGGAGGAAAACAGCTACAGTGGAGCAAACCTAATGGTTTTAAAGTTAGTAAGTCTAAAAGCCAATGTCTCTATCGCTTAGGGCTTTAAAGGGCTCATGTGAATCCTTAAAAAAATGTTTCTGTATTTAAATGGAAAATTATTCCTCATTTTCTAAAACAGAAAAAAAATTCTGATAATAGTGCTGCATATTTCTGACAGTCCCTCGGTTCTGCAATGGCCAAAATAAAGAGTAACTACTGTTAAAATAAATCCATTAATCTATTTAATAGACTTGCTGATATATGAAGGCCCTAGAGGTTTGTGAACATCCTGGCCATCAAGACCAAGGGACAAAGCAGATGGGTCAGAGAGAAGATTTTATATGGTTTTAATGTTTGGATTGGTAAGAAAGCCATAAAAAACTAAATCTCAGGCTTTTAATACCTACTAGAAGTGAAAATGGAAAGATTATGGCAAAACGACATACCTACAATGGTATGGCTGTGCAACAAATGAGATAGGCTGGGTAAGGACAGCATTAAACAGAAAGGCATCCAACTTTGTAGCAGCTGCAGAAATCAACAGTTCAGGTGGGAGAATCTGTCAGCAGCACAGCTTCTCCCACCTGAGTAGAAAGAAAAAGCTTTTCCGTGAGTTAGACACAAGCAGACATGAAAAAAATGGAAATAGCTTCTATCATCAGATGACCTGTAAAATTTGTTGGATTCTTGTAAAGTGCTCTGTGTGAAAGAAAATTAACAGCTTATCATCATGAACACCACAACCATAGTACAGGGGCCTTCAACCTGCATTTCCAGAGCTTGCATATGCCTCTTTAGCTCCTCCACTGCGGCTTTTTATAGCTTTGGTCAAAGACGCTAGAGAAATGAGCAATATTTAAAAAATGTACAGTTTAGAATGCTAGCGTTTGCATTTGCATAGCATTTCTGCAAAGTATTGCACATTGAGGAAAAGTAATATTCCTTTTTATGAGGTAATATTTTTTTGTTAAGAAGTTCACCACCATTTGCTTTTTTGTTCTGAGCAAGTTTAATAGGTGTCAATAAAAATACATGCTTAGCTTGTTTAGAAGAGTCTTGTTGCTTTTGAGGCTCTAAACATATGTTTAGCTGTACTGAAGACAAAACTGCCTGTTTAATTTGCAAAGGTTGCTTACACCTGCAGTTGTGGCATATGCGGTTTGCCGTTTCAGACTGTAGGGAAGCTCTTCTTCCATCACAGCAGCACATGCTGTTTAGAGTGGGAATAAGAGATTGATGGAGCTAAAACGCAGGAAAGTTTTCTATGAAAATGTGCTTTATATTAATTGCATCTTAAAATGGGTGAGATAAAATCACATTTGTGTGTTAGAATGGCCCAGTCAAAGTCCACCAAAATCCAACTGTAAATCTGCGGAAAGACTTGACAATTTTTTTATCCAAAGACAAAACTGAGCTTGAAAGAATTTAGCAAAGAAAAAATGTCAAAACAATAAGTCTACATTTGTGAAAAGCTGCTAAATACATAGTGTAATAGCCACTCAGATGTAATTTCAGTGAAGGATAGATATAGAGCATCAATTATGGCTTTATACTCAAGAAGAATGCTATAAAAAAAATGTAAAACAATGTACAATTTAATTTCTGTAATCATATGATACATTTGTTTCCAAAGACATGGAAAGGCAAAAAAATTACACTAAAGTTTTTTGTCCTAAAAACAAAATGTAAAAAAGATAAAATTTTTACATTGTACAAAATCATACAGAAAAAATTGAATAACAGGTATTTTGAAAGACCGTTATAACAACCCGGAACCGACAAAAAAACCAACGTGTTTTCTCAGGTCCCCCAGGGATTTATTTCAATGACATTGGAAAGGGACCTGCTTATTGTCTTTCTCTATCATCATTTGTGACATAATATATGCAAAACTGAGTTTGGTTACCCAATCTCATGCAAGGCTGTTGAGAATAATTCAATTTTTTTCCCTCTTGTATAATGCCCTGTTACCAGCTGCCACTGTAAACTAGCAGACAGTAACCCATTCACTTAGCAGGGTCAGGGTGAAAAAGGACAGAGGGTGTTTTAATGCTTTTCGACAGACTGGGTGTCATCTGAGAAAAGTGCTAAGGTGGATCAAACACTGGCTGCCACATTTCACCTGATAACAAAATATGAAACAGGTAGAGACTATTCCCTATTGAACAAAAACAAACAGGTGAGAGTGAGAGTGTGTAAAAAGAAAATAAAGATGCAAAAAATGGCATCTTCTGTCATTCCTTTTAGAAATTGACACTTATGTGGATTCATTGCAAATAGAGTAGAAATATTTCAAACCTGTATTTATTTTACATTTAAATTTTAATGTAAAACCAAAATGCAATTCTCTGGAAGATTACAATATTAAATAGAATCAATAAAAAGGATATTTTAAGAATAAATGTCAGGCAACTGAAAATAGCCTGACATTTATAAACACTTAAGACTTGATTGAAGCTTATTGTGCAAGAATTACTGCACCAGTGGAGATGATCAACCTGTGGTTCTGCAGAATTGTAGTGAAAGCTGAGGTTGCTTGGATTGCAACCTTGAGGTTATTTTTTTTACTCTATTTATTTATTCATTTAAAAGGGACAACATGTATTAATGAACAGCAGGAGCTGTAAATACACTTGGATCGAGCTCAAGGCTAGTTTCCATCCATAGACCCGTAGGACAGGGGCAGCAGGTACAAAAGAAACATATGGTACATGCAAGAAATACAGACCACAGATGAAACATATATGTAACAAGGACAAAAAACACAAAAAAATCATAAAAACCATACACAGTTTCAGAAGAAATACAACGCAATACCGACAGATAACAATATTTTAATGTGCTTTTGATATTGAGGTAGATAATGATAAAGTGCTTTGCTACTAAGTTGCTTTGCATTAAATGAGGTAGATACTGCTAAGTGCTTTATACCAGATTCTACACTTTAAAGTGTCTAACGTACTTCCTAGTGATTACTATTATTATTTTTATTAAATTATCTTCTTTGGTGTGTCTGAGGTCTATTTAACAATGCGGTTTTAACAAATTCAGAGTCATATCCTGAATTGATCTAGTCTGAGATTTTAATTTTATTTTCAAACAGGTAGGACCTACCGTATGCATGGTCTCATGGGGTTTCGTCCTCATTTTTAATTCTGTCTTAAATCACACTGTAAAGACTTAGTGGCTGTTTGACTGTGCCGTTATTTTCTATAAAGTTGTTATCCCGAATCAATGTTCTCGACAAGGGATATAAGTGGAGGGAAAATATCAAGTTCTATTAAACATATATGAAAAAAGTGTGTAATGCTGCAAATGTGAGGGCACATTAAGTCATGGATGTACAGCATGTGATGGATTGTGAGGTGAAATAGTATCGCTCATAAAGATAACATTTTCATTATTAAAGGACATCTATACACGGTCTAAGAACCCTATCCCAATAAATATTTAATTCTCTGTGAATAATTGCCGCTTATTCTTTAATGGGATCCTTGATTAAAGGAGGAGGTATGTTTGTGTTTTTAACACCTAATATGTCTAACTGACCTTGTGAACGACCTTTTTATTTTTCACAGAAAACTATGAAAAATCTCTCCTAACTCTTTCACGTCTTCGTTTTGGTTTAGAGGACCCAAATGCAGAGAGGTTTTAATGATGAAAGCAGTTAAAAAAAGCAGGAATCCAAGAATCCAACTAAAAATGTAACAGACCAGAACCATGGAGACATCAAGGGAAAACACGCACAAGGAGCCAGGGAGAGAGGAGGTGAGAAGACAACAGCAACGACAGGACCAGCAACAAAAAGGAACCAACAAGAAGTGAGAGCAGAGGGAGAGTATATGTAGCTGACTGAGACAAAGGCAGGGCTAACAAGATGACAAGGAGCAGGTGTGAGAGGAGACCATGAGGGAGCCAAGGGGAAAGGAACACACACAAGAGGGGAACAGAG